AATTCAGGAACACGCCCAACAAACCACGACCCCGAGATGCACTACCACCACGGCAGTAAGAGTGCCATGACTTCTTGGCCCCTTGGCTTCATGGTCTGGGGAAGTCGCTGTTGCACGCAAGACGGATGGCAGCGTTTCTTCCAGGGAATGTGGGAGCTGCAACTCCCGTATTGTGTTTACCGTATCATGTTGATATGATGTTTATCGCAGAGCGGCAAAGGCAATGTCTTGGAGTATTGATAACGTTACGAATGTAGTCTTGCTGAATGCTGATAGGAGCAGACCCTCGTCCACCAATCTTTATACAAGCCACTGGCATAGAACAACTCGTCCTCCTTGTCTTTGTTGCCGGCCTCACCATGCGTACGGATGGATGCAGTATTTCGCAGCAACAATACTTTACCAATATGGAGCCGTCACCAATGCCACACGAGCCACCCAATGTCCTTTTGCCATCTGCAAACACAGGGCTTTAGATGCGCCACCAGACCAGAACAAGCCTTCCGAGTCTCTTGCTTAGCCTTCACTCATGCGAACGGCCAACGGCCAGCCGCACCCTGATTCACGTACAAAAAACGTTGTGGCGCCGCCGCTGGCAACCTTCGCCCAGAGATCTCGAAGAAGTCAAATCCGATCTCCCACCTTCTACCAATCACTCTTTCGCGATAGCTCCAACTGCTCTCCTCAGAAGCGAGCCTAAAGAGGGCCGGCTCGCCACCAAACGGGGGGGATGCTAGTGAAATAAAAGTGCCTCTAACTAAGCAACCCCTGACCATGTACAGGTCTATGATCCATGGCCACCACGGCTGGCCAGGGACCACCCTCCATCAGTTCTCGCAGTCCCTCCAACGACATGCGGAAGACCTTACCCAGATAGGAAGGCCATCTGAGCAAATTGACCGTTCAAAAAGCTCTCCAATGACATTGTTCAATTAATTAGCCCCGGCCCAGCTCCCTACCACTACGAAGCCTCAACAAGGCAGCTCGAAAAGCAGCTTCTCATATGTTGATCGACGTTCGGTCGAGATGCTCCTTTTCCCCTACAGGCCGTGACTTGCCCACGCGGTGAATGAGCTGCAGATTAGCCTTCGAAGCTCGAAGCAACAAGCTGCGTGCAATTTCTTATTTCCCTGGTCCCGTTCGCTTGTCCTGCTGCCCCCTGGCCCATGATCCCACCCCTCAACCTGCCCCCCTGCTCCCCGAGCACTATCGCGTGCCACACTGTCACCGCGCCTTTGCATCCTCGCATATTCCCACAGCGCATGTCTTCTGTGCCGATGTTTCTCTCCACCTGCCTGGGCGAGCAAGCGTCCTGGTCCGAAATGGTGCTCCCAGCTCCTTTCATGACGACAACGACGGGCCCAGTCTCGCGCCGTCCTGGCCCCCCGCCAGACGGGGGTTCGCCTTGAGAGTTGGGCCGAGCAAACAGTTCATTCCCCTCCTCCCCGTTTAGAAGACGCACTCATGGCACTTATAAAGCTGGACCCCCGGCGCGCCGCGTTCATGATCTGATTCTTTTCTCGCCAGCTCCGGTCTCCTACAGGTCATCCGTCAGCCAAACACAATGGTCAAAAGCAGTCTCTTGCTGCCGCTCCTCGCGGCGGCTTCCGCCGTTCAAGCCAAGGCTCCGTCTCCCAAGACTGTCGCCGGTGCCTTCATCGTCGAGTTGGAGGATGGACAGGTATGTCAATAGCTCCGACAGCCGCCTATGCGGTGAGAACGCAAAGTCGCTAACTGAGTCTTTCCTACAGGATGCTTCTGAGTTCTACGCAGAGGCTGAGACCGACGCCATCACCCGTTTGAACCTCACCTACTCTCTTTTCAAGGGCGCGTCTATCCAGTTCAAGAACCTCGACACGGCCGACCAGAAGGCCGCCAAGCTCGGCCAGCTCGCTTCGGTCAAGAACATCTGGCCCGTGAGGACCTACAGCATCCCCAAGCCTGAGGTTGTCTGGACCGGTCAGCAGGGCCGCGACTACATCGACCTCAAGAAGCGCCAGGAGGGCGAGGATACCTTCTCGACCCACGTCATGACCCAGGTCGACCAGCTTCACGCCAAGGGTGTCTCCGGCAAGGGCATCAAGGTCGCCGTCATTGATACGGGTATCGACTACCTTCACCCTGCCCTCGGTGGCTGCTTCGGCGCCGACTGCCTCGTCAGCTACGGAACCGACTTTGTCGGTGACGCCTATGATGGCTTCAACGAGCATTTCCCCGATCCCGATCCCATGGATTGCGGTGGTCACGGAACCCACGTTGCTGGTATTATTGCCGCTCAGAGCAACCCCTTTGGATTCACCGGTACTGCTCCCGGTGTGACCCTTGGTGCTTACAAGGTCTTCGGATGCGAGGGCCAGGTTAGCAACGATATCCTCATTGCCGCTTACAACCGCGCCTACGAGGAGGGCAGCGACATCATCACCGCGTCCATCGGTGGTCCCTCTGGCTGGACTGACGAGCCCTGGGCCGCCACCGTCTCAAGAATTGTTGAGGCTGGTGTCCCTTGCACAGTCTCTGCCGGTAACTCTGGCGACCAGGGTGTCTTCTTTGCCTCTACCGCCGCCAGCGGTAAGCACGTTACCGCCATCGCTTCCTTTGACAACGTCATCACCCCGGCTGTTCTCATTGAGAACTCTTTCACCATTGCCGGCGGCGAGTCCCAGAACTTCTCCTATACCCCCGGTGAGCCCCAGAACTGGGCTGGCGTTGACCTCCCCCTCTGGGCCACGAGCACCGACTCCACGTCCACCGCTGCCCTCGGCTGTGACCCTTACCCTGCCGGTACTCCTGACCTCAGCGGTAAGATTGTGCTCGTCCGCAGAGGTACTTGCACCTTTGTCACCAAGGCCCAGAACGCCGTCAACGCTGGTGCCAAGTATGTCATGCTCTACAACAACGCCGCCGGTGCTGGCTCCGTCTCTGCCGCCGTTGATGGCCTCGAGGCTATTGGCATGACCACCCCTGCCCAGGCCGCCGTCTGGCTCACTGCCCTTGCTGCCGGATCCGAGGTCGTCCTTCACATGACCGACCCCAAGGAGGCTGAGCAGATCCTCCTCAACTCCAACAACACCGCCACTGGAGGTTCCGTCTCCAGCTTCAGCTCTTGGGGCCCCAACTGGGACGGTCTCCAGAAGCCTCAGTTCGGTGCCGTCGGTGGTAACGTTCTGTCCACCTACCCCAGAGCCCTGGGCAGCTATGCCGTACTTTCTGGTACTTCCATGTCTTGCCCCCAAACTGCCGGCATCGTTGCCCTGATCGCCGATGTCCGCAAGACTCTGGACCCCGCCACTATTGAGAACCTCCTCTCTGCCCACGCCAACCCCGTCAAGTTCAACTACGGAACCGGCCCCGACGCGCTTCTTGCCCCCGTTCCCCAGCAGGGTGGTGGTCTCGTCCAGGCTTTTGATGCCGCCTACTCCACTGTCATTCTCAGCCACTCCAGCCTTTCCTTCAACGACACTGACAACTTCATCCCCGAGCTCAACTTCACTATCAAGAACACCGGCTCCGAGTCTGTGTCCTACGACCTGAGCAACGTCGGTGCCGCCACCGCCTACACCTTTGAGGCCGCGGGAGATCTTTTCCCTGCTCTCTTCCCTAACGAGCTGTCCGCCGAGTACGCCACCCTTACCTTCAGTGAGGAGAAGGTCACCGTCCCCGCCGGCGGCGAGGTCACCGTCCTGGTCACCCCCACCCCTCCTACTCTTGACGCCGGCCGCCTCCCCGTCTGGTCTGGCTTCATCGCCCTCAACGGCTCCGATGGCACCAGCTTGTCCCTCCCCTACCAGGGCATCGCCGGCAGCCTCCACAGCCACGTCACCCTCGACCAGGCCCTCATGACCACTTCCACCAGCGCAAAGGCTGAAGAGTACGAGCCCGTTCCCAGCAACTACACCTTCACCCTCCCTCCCCCTGGCACCGCCAACGAGACCGAGGCCGTCCTCCCCGCCCTCGCCGTCAACATGGCCTTCGGCTCCTCCTTTGTCCGCGCTGACTTGGTTCCCCTGACTACCTGCCCCCCCAACATCACCCACGAGGTCTGGGGCATCAAGACTCTCGGCCAGCCCCGCTCCTTCCCTTACCTGTACGTCTCTCGCGGTGTCTTTGCCGTCAACTTTGATGGCCAGCTTGAGGACGGCACCTACGCCCCCGCTGGCAAGTACAAGTTTGCCATCAAGTCTCTGCGTGTCTTTGGTGACGCGACGAAGCTTGAGGAGTATGATACCACCGAGACTGAGCCGTTCCGCATCGTTTACGGTGCCGCGAACGCAACTGCTCCCGCTAGACACTAGGAGAGTGTTGAAAATGTGCCACGATAGCATCACATGTCTGTATGACAATTCTTGTAAATAAGTTCATAGGACTGGAATAATGTCTGATACTTGGAATGGATTTTGCTTGACCGTGATGCTTTTGTCCCTTTGATGATGTCTATTCCCAACTCTTTCCAAGCCTTGTCCTAGTTCATTCATGTGCCTTTGTTGGCATATAATTGAACAAGGCAATCTATGCAATTACTCTCCACAACATCGTCCGCTGCTGGACAGTGGTCGTCACCCTTCTGTTTGATAAATACAGGTCTACAAGGACTTTCATATCCACTCTCAACTACACTCAAACCTTCGCTCTCAACACATTCCCAACGGCCGCTACTCTAGCAGCGATAAGACTTCCTACGCCCAACAAAGTAACGACGGCCGCCCAAATCTGCGCCCAGATATACTTCCCGCCCGACACGTCGAGAATCGCGCCAGCGATAGGAGGCCCTGCCAAGGAAGCTACACCCACAATCGTCGCGACCATGCCAAAGCGTGCTCCCATCTTCGTGGGGTCTACAGTCAAACTCGCCAAGGCCGGTGTGAAAACGCCTTGGACGAAGCCATTTGCGATGCCGAAGAATACACTGAGAACGTACAATCCAGGACTAGTATGAACCCCAATCCATGCGAAGTACATACCACTTACAACCACGTTGCTGATGATAAACATGTTAATCGAGCCTAGATAGTGCCCGGCTATGAATCCGGACAGAACGCGACTAGGTATTCCCGACGAGTTCAAAATCAGCAATAGAGAGACGGATTCAGTGAAGGATAATCCAATGACCTCTCGGGCAAAGACATTTATCTGTAAATGAATCAGTAATCAGTCCCATTTCATGAGCCAGCAAAGCATGACTTACATAGAAGAGACTGAAGTAAAGCGATAGGAACGCGAAGAAGCTTCCGATGGCGAAACACGTATAGGATCTTTCTCTAAACGCAGCCCACTCAATCAAAGGACCCTTCTTCCTAGGCGCCAGCCGCGGTCTCATCAGCGCAATCGCAATAACACCAAGAATCAACATCATCAACGCCTGGCACCTCACAGCCCACGCAAAGCCTACATGAGGCATCGTATAGTTGAGCAAAATAGGAAACGTCACAGAACCGAGGCCTGTCCCAGTGGTGACGATGGAGAGCGCCAGAGTTTTCCGCCTCTTAAAGTACGAGCCGACGATGGTGATGCCCGGCATGAACATGATGCCCATCCCGAGCCCGGTGCATAGACCTTGTGCGAGGAAAATTTGCCAGTACGCGTGGCAGAAACTGGTCAAAAATGTGCCCATCACAGCCATGAATAGGCCGACGATGACGGCGTGACGGGTGTAGCCTGCGTCGGCTAGACGGCCCGATAGAGCGCAGATGCCGAAGGTGAGGAAGATCTGGATCGAGCCTATCCATGATGCCTGCGATGAGGGGAGGTTGAGGGTGGTAGTGTAGTAGAGTTGGTAGACGCCGTACGAGGAGGGGTAACCCCAGGCGATTTGGTTGATCAAGTGCGAGGCTAGGACTTGCAACCAGGCTGTGGTGCCTCCATCTGGATATGTGAACTCCTCTTCCTCGACGATTGAACTATGTCGGGAATTGGGGTAATGGAGTGGAGGATCCTCTTCAGGGTATGGTATTGATAGTTGCGGCTGTTGCAGACCAAGTGTCTGCTTTTCCTGAGGATCTGACATGATGCTGGGGGTGCTTCAAGACTTGGTTGTGGTCAGGAGTACGAAGGTGACTTTCAATGGCACACGAGGGAGAATGGGGTTCAAGCTGGATATTGTTGGATTGGAGAGAGACACCAGACTGCATTCGGATGGTTCAAGTGGCTCTATGAAATAGGAAGGAAACGATTGGGTGACTCACAAACCATCTAGAAAATGCTCGGATTCTGGTCTCTTTTTTCTTCTGTCATTCATACCCGGTGTTATCTCCTGGCGGTCCAAAAAATGCCGGACAAGGTTTCCCGCGCTTGGCACACTGATCTCGAACCAACTTTTCCGACTGAGACATGAGTCACGTAGAGAGTGTGGAGAATATTGATCGCCCCTTGTTTGCAGTTATCGGGATCTCCAATAAGGCGTTGGGGTAGCAAAGATAAGGATGTGTTTTCTTGCCCGCCTTTTCATCGAGCCATGAGAACGAAATCGTTGCATGGTTGAGTTGCGAGTACACTAACAAACTGCTCTTACTAGTAAATAGGACTTTTCAACCGAAAGTTTGGTCACGACGTAAAGCATGCCACTGGGGTCATAGCCTCGATTGATTTAGGAAGCGTTTCTCTTGTCTGTCCAGGTACAACTTGTTTTTTGTTGTCGTGGAATAGCACACTTTGGTTGAAGTTACTGCTATGCACGCGTTGTGATGATAACTCTCTTGTACCGGCGAATCGCGTACGGCCCTTTCTTCGTGCGGACCTGTAATACGACATGCCACTCCTCTCCATCCGTTGCAGAGCCGGCCTCAGTTGGCGGTGAGATGCTCACCTTTGGTCCAAGTGTGACATTAGCAAAGCCAGCCTCATTCAGAGGGAGAATGCCATTCGTTCCGTGTGGCGACGCGAGTGGTAGAATTGTGAGAGACGGTTGAACGCCGAAGCCCAGAGGTGGCGGGTATCCAAACCACTCAAAGTCAAGTTGGCTCGTGTCTCCAGGGTGGTCGGCATCACAAGTACTGGCTGCATCGAGGATGATTAACCCATTTAGGCTGAGGTCGAATCTTACAACTTCGGTGCCTGTCGAGCCATTGATGCTAAGTTGAGGTGGGTGCGCCACCGCACTTACGCTGTTGTTCAGTGTCCACTGCATGCGAGCGGCGAAATCGTCTTGCATGGCATCTCTCCAGCGCCAGATCGTTGCCTGGCTGCTCCGATATTGACTTGTTGAAGGAAGTGATACGTTGTCTGGTGAGTTGCCACACCAGTCAAAACCCATTGTTGCCTGGCTGCTCCGGTATTGACTCGCTGAAGGAACTGATACGCTGTCTGGTGCGTTGCCATACCAGTTGAAACCGTCCACCTCGGAGACCCTGGTGTAACGACCGCCCCAGCTGCCCAAGTTGGGCATATCGGGAACCGAAAGACCATTCGAGATCAGCCACAGGAAGCTAGGCGAGTCGCCCTCCATCCCATACAGAATCTGAGGATATAATCTCCCAAGAGGCCCGATTCGAATATTCTGATCGGCCCAAGCGTTCTTCACCTTTGTAGTATTCGCGAAACCATTGTCGTCAGTGGTGATGCCTACCCATGTTGCACCTTCAAATTCGTTGAATCCATTAATGCTTGTGATGTAGAAAATCTCGGGCCATCGAGCTTGGATCCAGGAGCCGGTGCCATCCTGATCCGAGATGGCATAGACGCGAAGCCGCGACCGCAAAATTGCAGCGTTTTCTGATGACTGGTCGGTTTCGATCTGCTTGAGGGCTTGTGCCAATGTGCCTGCGCCGCCCCAGACACTAACATAAAGTGGCTCAGAGGATTCTTGAAGCTTCTCGATCAGCTGCTTCGCACCTTCGCTAAGAGATGCGTTCAGCGCTTCCATGCCATAGACCTACACTCAAGAGGTCAGATGAAGTTCAGCTTAACGATGGATTATTCGCAGGTTCTGGTACTTACCTTGGGCCCAGAAGATACCAGTGGTAAGAGGACATCCGAGCTGCTGTACTGGAAGGTCTGCGAAACATGGCGGTTAAGATTATTCACGACCGTACCGTATGCTTGAAGAATTCTTGTCATCTCTTCCGGATGCGTCTCGTTCCTCAAGAATGTCGATGTAGTTGCGCAAAGCCCGCGAATATCTAGCTGATTCGAGTATAAGAGCAGGCGGATGAGTGACATGGAATCATCTGGTTCGTTGAGGATGTCGGAGAGGATGAAGACTCTGGGCTTAGTAACACTTTGGCCTCCAGTGGATGCGTTGCCGGCATGAAAGCTGCCCTCGCATTGTATGGATTCTGCATTGACTGGCAATGCCAGAAACTGGCTCCAAAGCAAAAGAGGAAGCCCAAGAAGCAAGTGCCAGACTGATGCCATGCCGGTTATAGTCCTATAATGAAGCCTTTGAGTAGTGATGGATCACTTGGAACAAAGAGTAGACCGACTCAAGTCATGTTTGTAGGCGGGATGTCCCTTCTTTAAGCAAAAGAGTGCCGCCCTTCAAGTCTTCCACGCTTAGAGCGACGATGCATCGCATCCCGGGATGGTCGATTTCACTCCCGCGGTCCGCGTTTACACTTCCCGTCTTGGGAATCATCTTTGAAGCCAATTTCGAGATGCTTAAAATGCCCCAATTCGTGCCATTGAGTACGTCACGTTGCCGGCGTGGGGATTGCGGGGATCCCGTGGATGTCGGGGTAGCTGTGCCGGGGTGGCATTGTTTTCTGCCTATGATCACCTCGTCGGAAAATCCGAGTTTGCGTTGCACACAGAGGTACATGTTTACATTACTCCAGGCAGTATCATCGAATAGCAAGCTATGTGATGTATAACTATTGCCGCTCGCCAATATGGTGTCAGATCCCGGCTTTTCCGGGATGCAGAATCGTCCCTCGCAGGAAAGCAGGTGGGAGCCGAGCGGCACGGAGCACACGGTCCCGACCTCCCAGCGGAGCTAGACGCCTTAGCCTGTACGGGATCAAATGACGGGGTCCCTCTCGGCTTGTGAACGATTAGAGTCAGTATTGCGTCGCTAAGGTGGTCCGAGATGGGGAAGTAGGTAGGTAGCAGATTCTGAGGGAAAAAGCCAATAGCTGCGACAAATTCAATGGCTGCTGTGTAGTATCAACTGCAAGCAATTCAGCTTGGATGTCCAGCTTTACAACCATTCCATGAAAGTCATCTCAAGTTCACGTTCGGATCTTTGGCTGGTGCTACTTGCCGTTTCTCAGTGAATTGGAGATTTTACTTCGACTGACGAGGATGGTAGTCCCCGGCTACCCCATATGTCATGCCATTTCAGTTTCTGTTTGAATGCTAAATCTAATTCTTGCACCCCAAAAGACACAGCTGATTTCGCAATGATCTGTCGCTGACATCGTGACCTCCAGACGCCCTTCGATTCGGCATCATGAGCCCTCAACTCACCGGAAATAACATGGATCTGTTCCGCCTTGGTGGCTCAGTGGTAAAGCGTCTCACTCGTATAGCCTACGTAATGAGAAGATCGGGCGTTCGATTCGCCCTCGAGGCAGATCTTTTGCTCCCGCGATTCCTCATCCATCGTTTTTGAAGTCATCTCGTGTGAAAAGTCTATGGGATTGATCATATCACCGAAATATCGCCAGACACAGTTTCAGCGCTGGCCGTAAGCGAATACTAACTTTGACAGATTCTATCGGTGTATTGGCGTAATCAATTTTCCCATTTACTCCTTGCTAATCAGATGATTGAAGAAGTCTCCAAGGAAAAGTGCTGACCTCTTCGCGTAGCGTGTCTTTTCCGGACTCTCAAAATCAATCCACGTCGCCCCGAACCTGTCCGAGAAACCTGCCGCCCACTCCCAGTTGTCGGTGAACGTCCATCCAAAGTAGGACTTGATGACAACGCCCTCTTGCGAAGCTTTGGCCACCTCTGTGAGGTAACTCTTGAAAAAGTCGATGCGGAACGGGTCCTCGAGGATATCATCTGGTCCCTTGGGCTTCCAATCATGCTCACCTTGCGCCGTAGTCCCGTTCTCGGTGATGTAGATGGGCACATGATACCGATTCCAGATCCATCGCAGCAACTTTGCCCATCCCCACGGCGTCGTGCGCAACCAATAGGTATCGCTCATCGGCCCGCGCGGCACGCCCTCCTTGTTCTCGTCAAACTGCTCAATGTTGCCCTTATGGTCATTGATGTCGGCCGAGCCATCGCGGTGCTTGACGTAAAATGCAGAGTACGAATTCATACCGTAAACCTCGGAGCTGCCTAGAACAAGCTTGCTCTCCTCGGGCGTAAACCGCGGCAGTCTGTCGCCGAGTTGTGCGCGCATGGACTCTGGATAGTCGCCCGTCTTATACAGCGGGTCGGCGAACCACGCGATCTCAAACTCCTGGGCTCTCTGCGCGGCTTCGACGTCGAGCGGGTCCGATGCGTCCCAGGGCTCGGACCAATTTCCGTGCAGCGTGATCATGATCTTTCCCTTTTGTGTTGGCTTGAATTCCTTTTTGTACATGTCGGCCACGTAGGCGTGGGAGATGAGCTCGGTATGCGCGACGATGAAGGGCTCGGTGGAAGAGTCGCCCTCTTCATTGAGCTCGCGAAAGCTGGATCGGGCTGGGGCGTGCACTCCGGCGGCGTAACCGGCGAGGGTGTAGACACCGGGCTCATTGTAGGTGATCCAGTCTTTGACTCGGTCGCCAAAGCGCTCGAAGCAAACACGAGCGTATCTGACGAAGTCGGGCGTGTATTTTTCCTTGTCCAGCATGCCGCCATATCGATCCTCGAGCGCTTGCGGGGTGTCCCAATGGAAGAGCGTAACGTACGGGGTGATACCGTTGGCGAGTAACTCATCGATGAGGCGGTTGTAGTATGCGATGCCGTCTTCGTTGACGGGATCATCTTTCCCGCCGAGAGGAATGATTCGTGACCATGAGAGAGAGAAGCGGTAGCCACTGACGCCGTATCTCTTCATGAGTGCGACATCTGTTTTATAGAGGTCGTAGGAGCGCACGGCATCGTCTCCTGTGCTGCCATCTTTCACCTTTCCTGGAGTATGCGCAAATTTGTCCCAGATGGACTCGCCCTTGCCATCCTTGTTCCAGGCACCTTCGACTTGAGCAGCGGCTGTGGCAAAGCCCCAGGTGAAGTCGGAGGGCAAAGCGCCCTTGATGGACGCGTCAAACTCGAATTGTGAAGCCATCGTATTCGGGGGGTGTATGAAATTGCTCACGATCTTATTTTTCACTCAATCATCGAGCGTCAAATCATTAATACACTGAACCTCAATCATCTTCAACCCCGCCTCGCGATCATGTGCTGATAGCTCCAATCATTCTACTGATGCAGCGTCGTCGGATATCACTAGAGGGGCATCCTTGCGGCGGGATGAGATGATAATGATTCGTGGAGGGGAACCATGTCGGTCACAGCTCCCCCGACACCGGGCGATCAGATGGACGGTCCCAATCGCGCGGGGTCCCACTGAGCCCCGACAGGGTCCATCATACATCTGATGAGAGACTCTTGAGAGATATGGTTGCAAGTGTTTAAACTTGCATTCGAGCAGGCCACCCGAAGATACAGAAATATTTCTTGACTTTCCCCGTTGAAATATGTCATGAACTCCTACCGAATTTTGATTTCTTTGTATTCTTCTCGCATGGTCAGTCAGTTGCCACAAGGATCAGTGATTATCACACACGCGAATCCCACCCAGCTTCCATTCTCATAAGCACCGCCCGGCAAATTCGGGCCGTGAATCCACACTGACTCCTCGAAGAGACCATGAATGTCAACGAAAGATTTAAAACATCATTACTGAGTATTGGTTAAGTATGTTTAGCTACTAATTTCAAGTCGTAGACTGAAAAAGTCTTCCCCTCTCAACATGGCTAATGGCTTGGACTATCTTCATCTCCACCTGTCCTCTCTGGCCTCATCCTTCACCTAGAAAGACCGGTGGCTTCGGGCTCGGGCGCCGCAGTCGACGAAGCAACCGGGTCTCCAAAATCAGGATCAATCTCGTCCTGCGATGGCGTATCGTCGCCACAATCCGTGCCATCCGGACCAACGCCAGTGAAGAAAGTGTCGCTATAAGCAGAGTCGAGAATCCCCTGAAAGTTGGCATCGCTGAAGGGGACTCTGGTGTGCTCATATCGAATGCCATTCAGCTGCTCCTTCGCTGCAGCCGGAAGCCGATCCCAGGCAACCAGAGGAGGACTCAAGGCTCCTTCTGGACCATTTGCGGAAGGGATAAGAGGAACTCCGGCATCGTAAGCCAGAATGGGGCGCGTTGCTGTCGATGAGTTCTCCCAGCTAACGAACAGGGTATTGGTCGTGTGTGTGGTGTCGAAAGCCCCTTGTGGGTTCGTCGAGTACGCCACGCCACGCGGCGAAAAGTTGTTGATATCGTCGGGACACTTGTCGACGGCCAGCCAAACGACGGCCGTGATCCAGTGATGCTTGTGCTGCTCGTCGTTGCCCTGCACTTTGGGTAGGTAGTAGCTGTAGATGATGCCCGTCCGACCGTGGGACTTTCCGATTCGTGTATAAGTCTGGCCAGTTTGGCCAAAGTCGCGGCAGTCGCCGCCGGCTTTACCCGTTGGCTTCAAGCCAGCACTAGCATACGAGCTTCATCAGTACTTGCTAACTATGTTGTTTGGTCCTTGAGAACTGTATGTGCAAAGTCCAAGGGTTGTTTTCACTTACCCAGCAGCACCATCAGCATCGACCGCTGCGTATGGAACACATCCGTGCCATGAGTGGATCAGCGGTTTGAAAGTCATCTGGACCTCGCCATCGAGATCATAGCCAGGAGCTTCCGCCAGGGGGACGACTTTGTCGTGGTTCGCCCATTTGTCGTTTACGGCAACGTCTCCATCGCGCTTCCAATTTGTATGTGAAGTTGCTGCGCTAGCAAAATCTAGCGAAGATACCAGAAAAAGCAAAAGAGAAGCTCGAAGTGACATTTTGAAACTAGATTTTAAGCAAGACTTGAGAATAATCCGGAGAAGATGAGATGTCTAAAAGCGTTCTAATAGTAGCCATGAATATTGAAGTAGGCTTGGAGAGTCTTATAGTCAACTGTTTCGTCTATAATGATCTTGCAAAAGACTGACGGGTGACAAAGAACATTCTCCTAAGTCGTAATACTTTGCTAAATCTACGGGCAAGAGACGAGATTATTTTGTCGACGAGAACCAGCTTTCTAACGGTGAAGCCGTGAAGTATAATTTAGTAGATCTAATCAGAGGATAATGACGACTATGCTGACGGCCCCAAACGCGGCGTGGGCTATTGAGCCTCATAATTGATTGCGGCCTAGGTTTCGCTTGAAATCCACTGCGGCTACGAATGTATAGCTGGGATCGCCGCGTAGGCTTAAACCTTCCTAAGTGACGCCGAGAACCACGTCAAGAGATGCTACCTTGATGATCCATTGGTTTAATCTACTGAAGTCCCTAGTCTATCAGTATACATTCCCAAGCACCCAACCTAGTCGTAGATCATATTCAAGTAATATATCAGACGAACACAATGACACTAGCCGTCCTTGACAAAGGAGAATTAGATGGAGTTTTACGTGATGACAATGAATCATCCTACATGTAGGCATGGCAAGGTGTACCCTGAAAAGTGATTCAACCGACAAAGACCCTTTGTTTCCTTGCATCTCTCTATACCGACTCAGGATGATTTGTGGTGAACCATGGGAAAAGGTTAATAGAGGAGCAAAGGTAATATAAATGAAAGAGTCATGCTATTCCTGGCTATAATCCCGGAGACTTTCGTCTCCTATCGAGTCAAAGAAGAGAATCTAGAAGCACGTTCATGTAGTGCGTACCGAACTCGTATGATTCCTCTGCAGGGTCTGTGGTGTGAACATCCAGCAGGATCCTGCCAGGTCTACCTTGAATATCCCTCAATAGTATGTGTATAGCTCGATGGACACACTAGGCTGTAAAAGCTTTAGTTTTGCAAATGATGTCAGGGAAACAGCCTCGCAGATGTATTAATCCATTGATACAAGCTAGCTACATGTACCGGCACAACTCCAAGTCCTACATGCCTTGACCGTTCGGTGTCGAAAACAGCCATTCGCCCAAATTTCGTACTTCACTAGACCAAACTACTTTATAGTTGCCGTGCTGTTTTCTGGCTGAGAGTTTGTTCAGTCTGGTCGAGGAAACTTGGGAGTTCTAAAATTGGGAAAGGAGCACAGTCGGTCTCGCGAATAATGTTCTCGCCATCAAGCTCTGAAATCCAGGAAAGAAAGGTGATCGTGCCGCTTGGGTGATGCATAGACGCCAAGCTGATTGGCGGTAATTAAGGTGCAATTAATGTCATACGTCAGTGTTATGAAGGCGTCCGCATGTTCGGCGAATTTCTCGTTGGTTTGATCCTCGTTCTGTTCCTTGAAGTCCGGCGGGATCGAGTTGCTCCGATGCAGCCCGCAGGTCCGGAGTACCCGGGACTTTCGGGTTTACGCTTTGACTTACGGTTACATCCAAGAGGCCGTTGGAGGGCTGATGCGACTCTATTCTTTAAGTGAGTTGTGGCTTGTGTCATCTCCACCGTGAGTTTCTCTTTTTCATGAGCACAGTGCTGCCAAGAGTCTAGTCAATATCCCGCCGTTGGCTCCATCTCGCGGGATCTCTCGCTTCAATCGGTAATAGAACACATACTAGAACTACCTCATCACTGTATATTGACTATTGTGAAGATTGATCGTCGAGGAGCCTTTCTTGAGAGCGGAAATTGCTTCCAACTTAGACGGCATCTCTTCGCTGGAATCTATCTAGGTTTTTTGACGTCGAAAATCACCAGATGGATGAGTTGCTCAACTACGGGATGGCCGAAGATGGGGACTCCCAAATCATGGACTCTGTCATTGCGCAGATCGAGGAACTATCAGCTTGGAAAACCTCACGTATAAATGGTTTGTAACTTCAGTATTCTGTTGCATGGTCAATCAATGTCACCAGATCTTCAGCGTAGTGTCTTCTTAAACATCCACAATGAGGTTTCTGCAACTTCTCGCCTACTGCGCCGCCGCCTCCGGCCTGGCCCTTCCGAAGCCCGACACAGAGCTCGCGGTACGCGCTCCAGGCGACTTAGCTACTACAGAAAGCAATGTATTCGACGTCGACGGTATCTTATCCCGCGACTCTAGTGCGGCGTGGATAGAGGCCGAGAAGGTCGTTGGCACCCTTTCGCACAACACATACTACTACTTCATGTCCTGCAACAAGGCGTACCCTGGCCAAAAGGGCATGACTCCCTCTCAGCAATACACCATTGATGAGACGGGCTGTCTTCATGTTGGACTGATCATTGGAAAGACTGCTGTCTTTCAGAAGAAGTTCAAGGCCAGTTATCTTCACGTTAGGCGTCTGGCAGACAATCCCAACACATGGACTCAGACCAGACACGATTGGGACGAAGTCAAGAGAATGCAGCGGTAGGAATTCCTCCAAGACAAGTTTCACTAGAGGAATCAATGAATCTTTACTAATTCCGCTCTCTTCATAGTATTGACTACGGTGGAACTACGTCATCGTCCAAGGGCAATCTCGATAGGGTCGTGAGAAAGGGTACGGCTTTTCCTATGATACATATGACAAGATGCAGATTCTAACATGAATTGGCTGTAGGTGCGGAGTGGATTGCATTATCTGGCGGCCAGTATTCTGCGGACTGGAACTGTTTGGCCTACTACCGCTTTATGGCCTCGAAGCTCTAAATGTAGGCTTCAACGAGTTGAGAACATGAACGAACACAGCTTGAACTCGAAAGATATTTGTTAGAGTGAACGGATAGCTGTCGTGTGTATTCCGACCCACCTACAATTTATTCGTCGTAAGGTATCATGAGGTATAATGTCTATTCCGAAGCATTTGGGGTTGATATATTTGAATCTGAAGTACGGCGTCTTCCCCATCTCTAGGTGGTGTTGCTTTAATTCAAGGACGCAAATCCTTCGCTGTGGTCAACACTGGAATAACATGGGTTCCCGATTGAACGGGACTGGCGGCTAAGTTGACGTAATCGTTGGGGCCTGTAGCAGAGGGGTAGCATTCTGTATACCACACCCAGGAATCAAAGTAGTTGAGAGAAATCAATGACGAATCCGCTATAAATTCTTTGAAACTTTGAAAACAGTAGTTACCTGTTACTGAATCCTGATAAACTTGGAACGAACCAGTCGAAAGTATTGAGTAAGTCAAAGCGAAACGCTGGCAATTGTAGTGACCTCGATCCTAAGCTACTCAGACTTCTTTCGTCCTGTTGCCAATCGTCGTTATTCAGATGGTGGTCCAAGACACATTGAACGAGGTGCTTGAAGCTGGCGCATGACTGTCCAGCAGGTGCAGAAGGGGGGACCCAATCGAGGAACCCTACTAGTAGACTGAGCTGTTGCACAATAGAGGATCTTGTTATTTCAACGTTTTGGGCTCTGGAATATGTAGGGTTCGGCTGAAGTAATCCTTGACATAGGATACCACCAGCAGGGGCACCATACTCTAAAAGCTAGACTCTGGTTCAGTAAGTGTATATGACAAGTTGAGAGGATTCTTACCAGCCATTCGAAGTCACGTGGAATGACAGGATCATTAAGAGAGTCTCGTCGTTTCCATAGTTCGATAGTCAATCTCACAAGATCGAAGCTTGTTGAGAGCAGATCAGTGTCGCCGAAACTGCTGTAACGGAGAAGTAGCCTTTCTGCGAAGAAGAGGTTTTTCAGGTGATCGAGTTGAAGCGTAATCTTGAAGTATAGAGTACGACAGTCTAGGCTAGCATCAATGAGATTGCTGGGACTATACCTCAGGGCTTCCGGAATCATGGACGGGAATACGATTTGTCGATTCCTCAAGGCTCTATCCCAAGATGTTAGTCTAGCTTGGTCCAATGACAACGTATTAGTTACACGAACTGTATTTGACTTTGTTCCACATGCTGATTGTGAGATAATGCGACAGCAATGAGTTCGTCTCGGATGCTAGCAATCATATATCGTGCCCGAATGACAGTCGAAGGATATATTTTCCCCCCTGTATTCCAGCCATGATCGTCAAGAGATTGAATTGCGTGGGCCAAAGTAGTCTTGTCGGATGCAATGTCTTCGTCGCTAATGTCGAGTGGCATTGGAGTAGAGCAGAAGCTGTTAGTCAAGAGAGGCGGCCGGCCAGTGAAAGAGACACCGAACTTGTCACTGGTAAAAACCTGAGCGACGATCCGTCGTCGATTCTCGGAGCAAAGTGTTGGTTCATAAGAGGGCCCATTTTCTAGATTATGGTTCCCAAGATACGTAAGCATGGTGACAGACAAGCTGTGGGATACATAGCTCGAGATGCCTATGATCAATTAGTAAAGACGCCAAAACACTTTTCTTGAAGGCGTATTTACGGGCATCACCATCCACAATGGAATCAAGAACTGATTTACGTCGGCAAAGCTCCAACAAGAGATCGTTACCATCAGTAAAGGTACGTGCAAGCTCGATACAATAGCCTAAACAGGTTCGAGCTGTTTGAGGAGATGCGGTCTCCGAGAACGCTTTGAAATGATGACGTTGTAGAGAACCAACGTCATCCGAAACGCGTGCGATACTCGCCCATAGGAGCCCTATGGACTCCCAACGGAGGTTTTGGCCATGGAATTGACTGATCCATTGAGAGGCATCATCGTGCTCGTCCTTGACAGCTCGTCTAGTGTTCCTACAAAGAATCTCGGCCAAATTGCTGAAGCGTTTGTCGCCATCGTGCTGCCATATTTCGAACGCAGCTTGGAGTGATCTGATGATCCGATCAACAGCAGTATGGTTCCATCCCTTCTGCTCATGGAGGGGTTCTTGAGAGTACGTCTGCAAGCTAGGCAAACATCGAAGGACATATAGCGCCGATTCTTGGGAAGGTGACGGGAGCTCACGAAAAATGACTTGATTGTGAACTTTCTCGTGACTATGTGCAAGCTTTTGGTTGGGATCCTAGAGCGAAGCACCTCCACTAGCTAGAAAAAGGTCAAACTCAGTCTCTTCAAAAACTTTATTATGACTTGTGAAGCCAAAATAGCCCGAAGAAGTGGAATTTGACGTGGTGTCTGCTACTGGTTCCTGTCTGAGGCCGGCATCGGTCTCAATTTCGAGGTCGGCAGCTGAATCAGGCGTATGTGTCTCCAGATGCGGTGTTGACGGGTATATGCAATTGCGCTTAGTTCGTGCTCTCCGACAGCGATTGCATATTGGCTGCGAGCGGTCACAAGCAAGCTTCCGGCTGCGACAAGGAGCACACGGCGGCTGACGGGTGTTGCGACAAGACGAGGAGGGAGACTCAGAGCCAACCATTATTCGAGAAAGCAATGGATTTAAGTAAAATGCGAGCGTATGCGCAGCAACAGACGTTTGGTCGACTGATCGACCGAGGCGACTATTCCAACGCAAGGTGACATTACTGGTTGATTGGTTGAATGATTGAAATTTCTTACTTGGTTTCAGCCGCCTTTGTCAGCAGCTATGCTCGCAAAGCGGGGGTTGGTCAAGAGCTGGCGCGCTCTACTCATGTTGATGGCATGGCGCTCGGTCTCGGCTTCGGTCATTGGCAGTGAATACATATATCGGCTTCGGCTAATGCGTCAATCACCCAAAAGTCCTGTCACCTACACAGGAAGCATAAGGCTTCGGCCCGAAGCCGAGATGAAGGCTGGATTTTGGACTGTAGGCTTCATCAAAGTACTGCCTGTTCTTGAGAACCCAGAGCAAGATATATAGCAGTACGAATTCCTCGACTTTCGTAATCCTACGTGCACGGCTGTCTCTGTAGAAACGCTCTCAGTTCTCTTCACTATATTTAACCACAGCGCCATTATGAATGCGGAGGAGGCCCTTAAGGGTCTTATAGGGAAGTATCCCGCCAAGGCACACGCCTTACGTGTGGCTCAATACATCCATACTAAGATGCCTTACACAAATGGTTTTCTCTTCCTTGCTGGGGCCCGAAAGGAATTCTACGATGATACAGACCTAGCGATTCCATACCGCCAGCAGAGGTCCTTCATGTACCTGACTGGTGTTACCATTCCCAACTGCCACCTGATCTACGACATTGGGGAGGCTCGTTCGACACTCTTTATCCCACCCGTCGATTCCGAGGAGATCATCTGGTCTGGATTGCCACTTTCGAAGGAGGAAATCCTTGATAAGTATGATGTTGACTCTGTCCTGCCCAACACAGAACTCCAATCATCGCTAGACTCCATAGGAAGCCAAGCATACCAGCGCAAGGCTGCAATCTTCACCATCGGTCACCACCAGAGGCCTGATGCTACTTTTCCTACGGAAACGGTAGTAGACTCGACCTTACTTAAAGAAACAATCGACGAGTGCCGAGTGATCAAAGATGATTACGAGATTGCTTTAATGTACAAGGCGAACATCATCAGTTCTATTGCACATCGAGCTGTGATCAAATCCATCAAGGAATGCAAAACCGAATCAGAGATCGACGGCGTGTTTCTGGGGGAATGCACGAAACAGGGAGCAAAGATTCAAGCCTACCCGAGCATTGTTGCAAGCGGGCGCACAGCGGCAACGATGCACTACGAGAGCAACAATTAAGACCTCTATCAGAGTGGCAAGCCAAAGGATGTGGTCGTGGTGGATGCTGGGGCCGAGTGGAGTTGCTATGGTGCAGACATTGTGAGCTTGTCTTCCTTTACCTTCTTCCCGAGTCTGACTAACACGAAGCAGACTCGAACTCTTCCTATCTCTGGGAAATTTACCCGCGAGTCCCGCGCCATCTATGATATCGTGCTGAACATGCAAGAATAGTGCATTGCAGCATTGAAGGAAGGGGTGTTGTGGGATGATCTGCATGTGTTAGCACACAAAGTTGCGATCGATGGTCTCTTAGCACTTGGTATCTTGCAAGGGGACAAGGATGAAATCTTGAGAGAAAGAGTCAGCACTGCTTTTATGCCCCATGGACTCGGCCATTTTCTGGGCATGGACACACATGATACAGGCGGTCAATGCGACAAAGCCGATATCGATCCTATGTTCAAGTACTTGAGAGTCAGAAGACGTCTACCTGCGGGATGCATTGTAACGGTAGAACCAGGTGTGAGTTTTGTCCTCAATCCCCTATTGCTTACACCAATACAAATCATTCTTCATCTGAAGCTAACACATCTAGATACACTTTGGCGAACATCTGATTCGGCCCCTTCTCCATGATGAACAACTGTCAAAGTACATTGACGAAAGGGTATTGGACCAATACTGGGACGTTGGTGGTGTTTGGTGAGTCCATATCAAATCAAAATAGAATCACACACTACTAACAATACCTCCTAGTATCGAAGATGACCTTCTTGTCACGGAGTCTGGCAGCATAAACTTGACGGATGTACCCAAAGATCCAGATGAATTGGAGAGAATCTTGTCAGGAGTGGCTGTGAAATCGTGATCAGCTTTTACCAATCAGCTTCTAGCTCAAATGAACGAATCAATCCACTCTTTGAACCGATCATGTAGATTCAAGTATTAGTTGATGTCGGGCGAATGCCGGAAAGATTTCGGGGCCCGAAAGATCCGCAGTGGATCTCCGCCGCCGGGCCCACACTCGGAGCCGTTCAGACTCGGAACTTTAAAGTTCCCATCAGGATGTTGCAAGGATGTGTGCCGAGCATATTCGAACATCCCGTCAGTTACTTGAAAATCTCCTAAAAAGGCTCGGCGATATTGAGGAATCAGCTTAAGCTAGCGGGAGAAGGGGGTCTCCGGCGAATCTGTTCCCATTTGATGGAATCGGGCTCTCGACTCTTGGCAAGAGTGTACATATTGTTAGTTGCACAAGTTCAAGAGCTTAGTTGATGGAGACATGATCAAGGAAATGCATGCTAGACTCTGTCGAGTCAACGAGCTGGTGGCCGGCGGGAATATGGAAAACCAACAAAATTCAATTCTTTGCGCCTGGTATCTTAGCCCGAGTTGCAGTCATCCTACACATCACTGAACATAAGGAATAACGACCGAGCCTGTCTTTAACACAACCGATTTGTGGACATGACCAAGTCGTAAATGCCGTTCCTAAGCCTGCCAACGCCATATCGAAACACCTTCCTCCAATGATTTATGCGTATCTTTGATCCATTTCGTAACGGGCTGCATTCGGGTCGTAGGTCTTGTTAGGCTCGTTGGAAGCGTAACCTCCAGTGTAACCTGTGCTTGGGTTGGCGGGAGCGTAATTTCCGCGGGGCAATGTGCCCTTGCGGAACTTGTGGTAGATGACGCTAGCGTAAATGAGGAGACCGACAAAGGAAGCGCTAAAGAACAGTCGAAGTTAGTTTGGCGTTTGATGGAAGGAAACGCATGGGAGTCACTTACAGAATTACGATCGCGATAATGAAGGTAAATGCGCCACCAGCGCCGATGATGGTCAGAATGAACAGAATGACCCAGACCAGAGTCTGGATGACGTTGGAGACCAGGAAGAATTTCGGGCTGAGGGTGCGTCGAGAGCGCTTGACGATGCAGACGATGTCGAGAATCAGGCAGATGAGAATAATAACCATAATGACGGAGAGGACGCCAATGACCCAGCTTGCTGTTCTGTTGTCGTCGCCGTAGTCGTTCAGAGTCTCCTTGTTGGAAGCGGCAACGGCGATGGTTCCAGCGTAGAGGACGATCTCAAGAACCATGATCGCGATTCGAATGACCCAGAAGGGAATCAAGACGCGCTTGAGGAACGGCGAGCTATCGCCGATGATGTATGCTTGAGTCATTTTGTCGGTGATCGTAGTTGTTCTGGTGCAAGTGGTCTGGTCGATTCCGGAAAGGATCGTATGGAGTATCGTCAAGGTGTTCGCGAGGCAAGTCTTCGATTATTAGATGTGAAGAGTTCTATGACAGCAAAGACGCAATGCCGAATGTCGTGAGAGACTCTTGCGCCTTAAGTAAAATTTGACGATGGCCACGCGCACTCGAAGGATCAAACCCCTTGGATCAGCAGCGCCGCATTTCCGTCTCGCTTACAGTTGGAATGTCTTAAGTTGGCGTTGGACCGGCGCGCCACAGCCCCTATCGACTTGGTCACCTAGGCCCTTGGCGACACAGCCCTAATTAGACTCTACAGGCCTTCAAAGTAACCTTAAGATACTCCAACACGCCCAGCAGCGCCCCCAAAGGCACTCTAAGTGGCTGAAATTGCCCTGTGTTGCCTGTTTCATGGGGCCGAAAGCAAGGAGGATCCTGACTGCCAGGGATCTCGGCTGACAGCAAGCGCCTGTTGGTGCGTCCCCAAGTGGCATAGCCCCGGATCAGCTTGTAGATCCCTAGCCCTCTTTGCGTCTTTTACAGCTTTTACCACCTATTCTCGACGACCAACACACCAAAGTCCCCGATCTCGGGCGGGCCTAGCTAATGTCGCTGCCTGTGGTGGAGATCTTTGAGCCTGTTGGGCTGACAGGGTGTAAGACTGTAGGACTGTGCCCCTCGTACCATTCCTAGACCGTCATTCGCAGATCTTTGTATGAAGTCATTTCCATGCCGCGTCGCTAACCGCCGAGACTTGAGAGAAGCCATTACGAGATTTGGCTCTAGAGCTGCGGCACTGCACAAACGGGGCCGATTTTTAGCTCAGGCTGCCGGCACGATTTTCTAGCTTCCTCGACCCTGCATCCGAAATTGCCAACGGCAGCGCCATTTTGGGTGGAAGGCGTAGGAACTCTCTTCCCTAGGTAGTCACGATGTCTTGGAGAGATGCGATGCGTTGCACACGATCTTATGGTAGGGTACTCTGTAGTACTGCTATTTAATGACAGTGGCGTCAGCTAAGTACTTACATCGGCAGAGGACAAGTTTGTAAGAACTGTGTTCATGACGACCAATGCTACATCAATCGGGCGATATTGTGCGCCTCTCCAACATTGAGATTCCAGTCTTCATTCCAGGATAAAGCAAAGCAATGATCGAGCGAAGAGCCTAACACTCGCTCCAATAGAAAATAGAATGAAAGACTACGGGTATCCCCTAATTTACTTCGCCGTACATACACAGGGCAAGCAGGGGTTAATTTCTCCTGGTGCATGCATGAGGAAACCAGCTAGTAACCAAGTGGTGCCATGCTAAGGGAGCTAAAAGCAGTGCAAATGGATGGCTTGTACAAAGCCACCCAAATGCCAACAGAACCTTAATTCTTATTTCCTAAAAATCTCTTCTTGAAGATCGCTCAGCCCTGTTTACCTGACACACGCACCAAATTCAATAGGTCTATTGCTTCCTGGTCAGTTGAACAGCAGCACTTGCTCCAATGAGGAGTGAACCATCTCACTCTACCGAGCTCGTACATGTATCCATCGGAAGATGGAGTTCACGAGTACATTCACATAACGTCCTGGTTGAGAGGTGCCCAAATGCAATCGATCAGCTTGAGGTACCTAGGTATTGAATGACTTGGCAGTATTTTACCTTAGCCACGAACTTGAGGCTAACACCGATCCTCCCCGACGGATTGTGGCTGGGGCCCGGAGTCGACAGGGTAAGAGAATCTGAGAACTACCGTGAATGACGGCATCTCACCTACTCATACGCATGTCATGTTCTTTTGACGTGCATACCTCTACAGGTTTATTGCCTGCAACAACCATCTAGGTCATGAAGGTTGAGTCCTGGGACCCATCACCGCTTCAAGTTGAGCGATCAGAGAGATGGCTTCATTATTGGCTTGCGCAAATAGCGGACCGCGAAGAGATGGGACGAAGAAATTTTGAGTTCACAGGCATGGCTTCATGTTGGCATGATATGAGGACGTGAAAATTTGATATACCCAGATTGGATCAAAGTAAACGCTTGGTTATAATCACTCGCCAAAGTCGGCGATTCGATAGATCAGAGATTACCCATACAAATTGCAACCGTCGTAAACAGATGCAGCAAGACCCGCCGTCGCATAACCAACGCACGAATCAAGATAACCCAACTTTCGGCCGAGCCCTGGGCCGACCGACCGATTGTTGACGTTTATCTCGTCCTACCAATCCAGGAAATACATCCGCTCTCATCTCCATGTGTTTTGTGCACAAGTGTCCACGTTTCCTGTCGGTCAGACTTGGCTACGTCCTGCATGTCATCTATGTCAGCGCTACATCTTGATACCGAGAACGTAATTGGTGCATTGATTTTCGTTGAACGCCAAATGTGATGGCCAGTGAAGGTCCATCAACGGCTCCTTGTCGATGTAAGCGCTACAGGTTGCGGTTTTTGCTCCGTGCAACACAGTAGCAATCCAAACTAACAGCAGTGCAAGCACTTAAGACGCATTAATATCAGTCGTTCAATGTCGCCTCAGAATCATGACCTTCGAAGCTCCATGTCTCTTGTCACTCACATCACAATTCACAATGTCTTCACCAAAGTTCCAGATCCCGCCAGAGTTCGAATCAAAAATCCGCCATGTCGAACCTCTGGACTCGCGCTCTGATGAAGAGATTCTCAAGTCTCTGAAAAGTCCTCTCCCAGTCACTTCAGAAAAAAACATCTGGGCCTTTTGGGATTCTGGTCTCGACAACATTCCAAGCTGGTGCCAACGCAACATCATTAACTGGGCTCGACTCTGCGGTCCAGGATGGGCGATTCGCGTTCTCGATGACGTCCCAGACTCTCTCAACAACGCCCTAAACTGGGTCAAGGAAGACCAACTACCCGAATCCTACGTTGCACACAAGATGGATGGGCCCCGTGTGTGGACTGGTCCCCACAGCGCAGACTTCCTCCGCGGTATTTGTCTGTACCAATATGGCGGTGCTTGGGTGGATGTGGGCACCATCCTCGTCCGGTCCATAGACGATCTCTGCTGGAAGCAACTCGAGGATCCAAAGAGCCCTTACCAGGTTTCCGCCCCTTGGATGTACTCGAACGTCGTAGCCAACCATTTCATTGCATGTCGCAAAGGTGACATGTTCATCAAACACTGGTAAGTCCGAATTGGTACTGGGACTCAACAATACGGCACAATCGCGACGTTAATTGCGGGGGAAGCTAATTGTTTATCAAGGCACGATGTTTTTATGGAGATTTGGAAGGGCCGCAACAGCTCCGATGGCATTTTCGCAAGTCCTCTCGTCTCTTTCGCACAAGACATGAACGCCGATGCAGTCGAAGCTCGGAACTTCAAATGGAACTGGAACGTTCCTCTCCCAAAGGTCCTGGAGTACATAGCTCAAATCGTGTGCTGGATCAGAGTTGCTGCGGTCAAAGAGCCTAAGGGTGGCTTCGATGGCGTGGATTACTTTCACAAGAAAATCCTTCTCCATGACTCGCTGTACGAAGACTGGCCGGCTGAAGCCATCATCGGTTGGGATGGTGAGGATCTCTTCGACCTCTTCTCAGTTCGATTGGATGCCGATCCAGAGTCTGAAGAATACAAGAAGGCTTACAACGTCGTATGGACGATCTTGACTACATCGACTATGCAGAAGGTCACCCACGCTGCAGGCATGACCTCGACCAAGGCATTGGGGACTTTGTGGGATATGAAAGAGAACGAGAACAGGGACCATGAACCTGGAACTTTTGCAGAGTTGCTGCGGTATGGAAGCGTTCATTTTGCACAAAATCGCGAGATTGAGTATATCACGCCGCCGAAGGCTGATTTTGTGTTGGAGAAGGGTGTACTCGAGCCCTGAAGGGGTTTTCGGTTTTATCAGACTATTGCAGTCGAAGAATGCTCGTTTTTCTACAAAGCAGTATTAGTCGGGATTGACTCCAAGATTCAATTAGAGTAGGAGTCATGCTAGGTCACTCGACAAACTATTGAGGTGTTAATTGTGGAATTGTGACAAAATATCAGGCACCTAAGGAAAGTGAATGTTGGTGTAGTATGTCTCCCAAGAGAACCAATCGAATGTCGCATCAAATGGTTTCCTATGACCACGCAAACCGGCTGTGGATTAAGGTTCAGGGTTGCTGCTTGCAGATCCGAGATTCTGTCGCGATTCAAGTCCCAGAGGTAGCCCAGATGTGAACGTGTCAGCCGGCAGCTAGTTCAGGAAGTCCTCAATGTCTAGCCCGTCGTCAAATTCAACTTGACTATTTGTTGGGGGCAATGAGATATCTAGGGTGTTGTTGATCACTGTTTGCCTTTAGCGCACCCAACCCGGAGAAAACACGATGTCCGTGAGTAAAGCGAAGGTTCGACTAAGTAAACCAGTAGCTCAACTCAGCTTGGATGCTGGGTGGGAACATGGCTGGTGGCACCTGACACTATGGAGCGCTACAAGATGAAGGTGAACACTAGACCTCTTCGCCCCTTGAGTTCGTGTTCTGCCGGAATTAAAGCAAACCCACTGCTCCTTCTAGCACCACTCAGACTCAGATCCTTCGCAATCCAATGTAAATCTATCAACCAAGCCATATCGAAGTCATTCACCAGTAAACACTAGCTGGAATCCAAGTATCAAGGCGACGTATCACCAAACACGAGAAGGACGTCATGTACCGAAGATATGGCCCACATTTCAGCTTCCATCGCAAGAATTGGTGCTGGACCCTGCGGTCTGATGTTCACCCGCTTACTGGAGAAGAACAATATCAACTTTAGCCAGGCTGTCGAGTTTCAGCAAGAAGGACTCTTTTCAGGAAGCAAGTGAGCCCGTGTTAGATATGTGCCGTGCTGGAAAATTGTTCAACGGCTGTCTGTAGTTTGGGGCTTGAGTCGACGAATTGGAGGTTACCTCCAGTAGACAAAATAACTTCTCCGCTCTTCTTTTAACGCTGCTAGGCGCTGCTGCTAGTGATCTCAATTCTCTTCAAACCTTACCCCCAACAGTAGACTTTGAAAGAGCCGGGCACCGGTCCTCGCACGAATCGTCACAAAATATTCTGCGTTAGTCGTAAATACTCAGAAATTGACTAAAATCAAACTGAACGCATATTGACAGCTTTCAAAGCTCCCAACGGTAAGCGGAGACGGTATCTAGAACAAGACTGCGTGAAACAATTGTGGCGTTGACAAGGGGGCATGGATTGTTCGGCCGAAATCTATCCGGGACTGGCAACGACCCTCAATAATCGATCAAAAGGATGAACATGGATTACGGATTGATGGAATGCCCGTCGGACAGATAGTTACCCGATACTTGTCTTGAACTGATGTATATAAGGACCGAGCATCCAAATCTGAAATTCGCCCAATAGATAATTTTCCCTCTATATTTAGCTTAGTTTAACTTCATTCAACTTTCGGAGGACTAGTAGTTATCATGACTATCATTGTCGTCGCAGGAGGAACTCGCGGGATCGGCCGAGCAATTGCTGAGGCTATCAATCGCAAGGGCGGTTACTACGTCAAGATACTGAGCAGATCTGTAAGCTTTTACTACCATAAGCCAAGCCCGGGGTATGGGTTAGATGCTAATCTGATTTAGGCCAATCCGGCCCTTCAAGAGGAGACGGGAATTGAGGTCATTCCAGTTGACTACAGCAGCGTCTCAGTGTTGACAAAGGTCTTCGACGACAATGAAATCCACACAATAATCTCAACCCTGTTCGTGACTTCAGATGGCTCTCCTCAGGTGAACATGATACGTGCCGCCGAAGCCTGCGTCCATACGAGGAGGTTTGTTCCAAGCGTGTGGGGAATTCCCTACTCTAGAGAGTAAGCGATATATAACTCTTTCGTGCTCGCTATCACTCCTCCAACAGAAATCCCGATCTTGCAGACAGCATGTCTGACAAGGGTCTTTTAGTCAAGTAACTGAGAGGCAGATGACTATTGGTCAATCGAAGCTCGATGCGGTGGAAGCCCTCGAAAACTCCTCTCTGGAGTACACCTTGTATTACGTGGGCTACTTCCTAGATTTCTGGGGATACCCACGCGTGCAAACATACCAGGTACAAAATATTATCGTGGTCGACATCGAGAACAACAGGGCCGTCATTCCTGGCAAAGGTGACACCCCCGTTACCTTCACGCATACCTTAGATGTTGCGGAATTTGTGGCAGCAAGCTTAGAGCTCCCCAAGTGGGAAAAGGAGAGTTATGTTATCGGCGAGAATGTGACGTGGAACGAATTTCTGCGAATTGCGGAAGAAGTCAAAGGTAAATAAACCAACAAACAATCACGCTTTAACATAATCGTCTAGAATTTGCTCACACACTCTTTGTACTTTAGGCGTCAAGTTTGAGGTTACCCATGACGATATCGACTTTCTCAAATCTGGCAAGATCACCGAGTTACCTTCGCACCCGTCCCTGTACAGTGTGATGCCAAAATATCAACTTCAGGCACTTTTCGCCACCTTTGGTATCTGGTTTGAAGAAGGACTGTATCATCTTGAGCCCGAGACAACTCTCAATCAGTTGTTTCCAGGTATCAAGGCGCGAACTGTGAAAGAAGTCATCCAGGCTGGGTGGGGTCAGAAGAACTGAGGACGGCAGAGACTGCAAGGGCTTATCTTGTCTTGCTTCATACTTCTACTGAGTGGACCAATGAACATGAAGCTTTTCAGAACTTCAAAAGTGGACACTTGATAATGTGCGAGAGTCGTGACTACTCTATCAAAGTTTAAGGATCTGCTCGCCTAAATCTTTAACTATAAGGCCTTGTGAAGTTTGATTGGACGTCAATGAAGGATGAATCGTGAAGCATCTTATTCCCAAGCTTGCTTCCCTCATTCCATGCCACTGAAGGGCCAGTCCTGAGGAACATAGAGATTAGTGATACAGCCGAGACGCGGATCAATTTTCTACCATTTGGGTGATTAGTGATCACCAGGAGGTTCTGGCCGAGTGGAGCCAACCACGGACGATTTGCGAACGAGAGGAAGGAAGTGCATAACAGCGTCACGGGCCGGAAAAAAGGTCGATATGGGATGAATCGTTGTAAATAATCTATGAGAATTTGAGAGTCAAGTTTCAGCAGCAGCTTTGGATTCAAAGTATTCGACAGGAAAGACAACTTTATCATCTCAGAATGTGATCGTACAATACACGATGTTCAGTACTATCGAGCTACGTTATTCGTTCTCCGTGACCACACAAACCACAAGAGTCCCCAAATCCACTCAGTTCAATTATTCCCCCTTATACCTTCTTCGAACCCTCCGGAAAACCAATCTCGACATGTTTAACGCCATCCTTTCCAATGATTGTTGTCGTATCCATCGTAGGTCCGTCAAAAAGAAGAGCAATCTCTTCCAAAGAAGGGCCCTTAGTCTCTGGGTAAACAAACCACAAGACGACAATCTCGATAAGAACCCAAGGGATAAAGATAGTGTAGAATTTCCATGCCAATTTGTCAAGACCAATGGGGACAACGTAGGTCGAAATGAGGGAGAAGCATGTGGAGAACAGCTGGAAACAAGCTGTACCGCGCATACGGAGGCTGTAAGGAAGAATCTCGGTGATGTACAATACCAAGTTGCCGTTGAGACCCAGGTTGTAAGCGGGAGAGAAGAGGTAGAGGAACGCGACGACTGCCCCACCAGCGGCCTTATTCGACTCGTTGTTTGCAAAGACGGCACTGCCAGCCGTGATGCAAATCAGGCAGACAAAGATGGCGAACAGAGAGCTGAGGAACAGTGTTTTGCGACCAAGCTTGCCAGGTAGTGTCGCAAAGTACAGCGCAGAAAGCCAAGAAAGGATCTGTTGAGTGGCGTTGATAAGCGTCTGTTCCATAGAGGACTTAAGCCCGACGGAAGATAGAATGCTGCTCAAGTAATACGAAACAAAGGCGTTGCCACTCATTTGAGCTATGCACGAAGTCCAGAGGATTATAAACAGTCGCTTGCGGTTTCCAGGTGTCCTGATAAGCTCGAGGTAATTCTGAATCCAGCTGCCCCGGTCGATCGTACGTTCGTATGCAAGAGTGCTCTGAATTTCTTCGTACTCGAACTGGACAAGAGAATCATGCTCGTCGCCTTCAGCATGGTACTTGGCTAAGAAAGCCAACGTTTCCTCGTTGCGATCCTTGGAAGCGAGCCAACGAGGGCTCTCCGGAACGAAATACAAACCCAGAAGCTGAATGACAGATGGAAGCCCCTGAATGGCCGATGGGATACGCCACGACCATGTTGAGTCAATGCGGAAGCTCGCAAAGGTTGTCCATGCCGCCACAATGGCACCGAGAGAATATGAGGTGTTGAATAACGCGGTTGCGGTGGCTCTGTGTGCCGGGTGCGCAATCTCTGTGATCAATGGGGCGCCTGAAGCTCCAAGAAATACGGTACCGCACCCGAGGATACCACGAGCGACGACGAACATGGCGAGGTTCTGGGCCGAGGCTTGGACTGTAGAGCCGATTATGCACAGAGTTGCACCGCATGCTAGACCAATCTTACGACCAAATTTATCGCTGACGAAAGAGAGGAACGGGATAGCGCAGAGACCTCCAATGGGATAGGCAGCGTTGAAGAGACCAAGGGTGGAACCCTTGGGTTCTCCAAAGTAGTTTCGCCAGTTCTCGACCGACTGTAGACCGTTCATCATGGAGCCGTCAAAACTAGTTGTCTTTTGTAAGCATATGATGCCATCGAGGGAGCGATGCAGTGCACTCATACCCTTGGGTGAAGATGGAGAGCATTGGAAATGCAAGAAGCAGATTCAGAGTGCAAAGATTCGTGGACCTCCACCATTTCTTTGGGTCTACCGCGCCATCTGGCATAGAGGTGACGAACGGAGCTTCGACAATGCTGCCGGGTCCCATGTTGACTCTGCTGAATTATGAACGAGTTTATGAGTGTTGTAGGCCTGAAAGTGTTTGTCCGAGTTGGCGAAAGTGGCAAAAGGCTCCGGGGATGTGGTGAACGGAGGCCGATACAATTAAAGTCAGCGCTTGAACAGAATCTTATAGAAAAGCCTGACCGGCAGTTGTGGAAGCAAGCTACAAATCGTCGCGTGATGCTAAAGAATGAGCAGAATACCGACGAGGTGTTTCTCTCGGACATGCCCAGCCTAGCGCCCCTGCAAAGATTCTTGGGATCCGGGGTATGGGGTGATTCGCGGGGGGGACGGGGGGCGTTCGGGATCCAGGCCATCGAATATCGCGACCCCGTATGGGACCGAGATGTTTGCTTAGTCTCAAACTTTTTCTTCTCCAGCTCAAAACTGGATCATTGGACTGAAACTCAGTTAAAAGAACAGGCTCGGCCGCGGAAAGCCGGAGTTGAGACTCTCAAGAATACGCGGAACGTGAAATAGGTGGAGCTCACGCGGAAAGCCGGGATCATGCATTCTTCTCATATCATCCCGCTAACTTGGCTCAACCCCACGCTAGGCTTCGGTTCTTCTCAATCCTGACTCTAGCTCGGCGATTGATGAATCATGCAGGATCACTTTGCCCTGGTTTTGGGTAATTCACCAAGCGGTGGACATGTATTGTCGCGGAACCTTGGTCACGATCTCATGAGGCTCACGGTCTGTGAGTAGACGGCAAGATGCTTGTATTCCTTAGTGTCAGTTGGTACGCTACTCTACTTTAGTTGTAAGTTGAACCTGAGATCTCGACCAAAATGCTCCTCAACACTATTCGGAAGCTTTACGCTTACTCGAATCGAATCTTCGACTGGTATGTCTTGTAGAACAACCGACAAACTCAGCTCATCACTACCGACCCCTCGGGACCATCTGATACGAGCAATACCAGGCGCCAATTTCCCACCAAGCGCCACCTTGGCGTCGAACTCGCGGTAAAGATTGAACCGAGGAGCGCAAGAGATGGCTCGCCATCCAGGCTCGAGTGGCTTGATTCCGGCAACTTCGGTCATGAATTCATAGAGGGGCACCGCGCTCCACGCATGGCAGTCGGATCTGAGCGTCACCTCATCCTCGCACCAAGTTGTGAGGTTCTGGCTCAGCTGATGCCGCCAAGGGTCCCAGAAAGAGTGGAAAGACTTGTCGTAGAGGTCTCCGCCAACTTCGGACAAGGCCCGGAGAGCGTAGAATGACATCGCCGTGGAAACTCTGGTGAACGTGACAGGTTGGTCCGATGCGGTGGAGAGCTTTGACGCACTCGGGCCATGATTGAAGCATTGTGTAAGGAGCTGTCTCGCCTCCTCACCACTAGTCGCGCCACAAAGGACAGCCCAGATCTGATTATGTTGGCTAAAATCCAGCGAATGGTCAGCTCTGGCGGCCAGTCCATCCGTGAAGACTGTTCCCACGCGGCAGTGCTTCTGCGTGGCCAAAATGATATCGTCTGCTCGTGACCTATACTCCTGGGCGAGCGCCGGTCGACCGAGGTCCTTGACAGTCTCGGCAATGGTCTTGAGCGTGTAGGCGTATAAGAAATTGGTAAATGTCTGAGTACCCGTTCTCTGGGTAGCCGGCGGTATACCCATAGGTCTCCATTGAGTTGTCCAGTCGACAAAGTCCCAATGCGTCTTGACTGACTGGCAGTCACTTGATATAAGTCCAGTTTCGGCATTTAAGCGCTGCGCAAATGACGAAAGTATACTGTCGCATACTGCCAGAAATTTTCGAGTGAAGTCTCCGTCGCCATGATTGATGAAGTGATCAGCTACCGTGCAGACCCAGAAGAGCGAGAAGTGAGGGATCACTTGAAAGACATGAGCAGGACTGCGACTTGCGATGAGCCCAATACTTGGACGATATGAATTATGGAGTTGAACGATAGCTTGCCGGGCCATTCGATCGTCCCCGGATACGGTGTACGTGAACAGACAGGAACTGCGCACATCCATGGCGTATTGAAGCTGCTCATAGAAGGGGCAGTCCTCGTAGCAGTCGTGCATACAGTTAGTCAGCGTGCGTATGCTGTTCTCCCAGAGCCGCTGATAAGTTTTCTGATGCTCATCGGTCGACGAAAGGGCGAGGGCGCTTTTGACGTCCAAAGGATAATGCACCTGATCGATGGTAATCCCGACGAGTTCTAGATCGCTCTCTAGATCTACCTCGATGTCGATGGACATGAAGCGCAAAGTGCGAAAATGAAAGGGCGAAAAGGTCTCAAACTCCACTGCATTGAGACCGTAGGCGATCTGAGAGCTGGCGTGGGCCCCTGACAAGCCGGCAAATATGTACCTGTCTTCGGGCCCAAACAGAAACTTGGTCGTGTCTCTCCTATCGCTTTTGCAGCGAACATAGGGCACATACTCCGGTTCCTCTTCATATGCCTCAGAATAACGAACTCGTAAAATTGATCCTGAGGTCTTTGGTCGTGTGAAACAGAACGCAATCATTGCTGTCAAGTGATTCTCTGCCTCAACCTCGATGTGGTGATGTGTGCCCGCGGGCAGCCGGAGCGCACTCGAACCACCTTTCAAGAAACTCCCCCAAGAGGCCTGACCAATCGAACTTTTGACGTTGTGAACAGCTGCAAGTACTTGAGAGGTGGTCTTTGGCTTTGGTATCATTCGCGGTGAGAGCACCCACGGCGGAGTGATGCCATGTGATGTTGGCAGTTCCAATTGCTTTGCCGAAACCCAGTCGAGCTCTAGCGCTTTCCTCGCGTCCACGTCTTCGTAAACGTGGAGGAAGTCGTCTTCTTTCTGGTCGATGCGAAGCACCGTGGCACAGTCTATAGCGGCTTCCCACGAGCTGTCACTGCGGACAGGCAATATGACCTCATCATTTGCCGCCAGGGGTCGAATAAAAAGTCCTGGGATTGGAAGTCGTGGGAAACTCGTGGCGTATTGCGTGGCGTGAAAGAAACGAAGGACCCTGACCGAAATATGATTCATGCCGGCCTTCAAGAATGGTTGAATATTGATCTCGTCATAGAACCAGAGATGTTCATCTCCTTTCACAGGACCCGAAAAGACGTCTTGGCCGTTGACGAATAACTTGTATCTCGTGTCCGCTGTAATCTGGATTCTCGAAGGCCCATGCGGAACTCCTTCCAGATTCAGGCTCTTGCGGAAGTGGACGATACCGCCAGCAGTATTCGCGCCATGGTCTTGCCACTCGGGATGCCAAATCCAGGGTGTGTCGAGCAGCTCGGGATCCATGGTATGAAAACGATGTGCAGTGATCTTGCTGTTGATACTTGCGGTTAAGAGTGATTATAATTTAGGGTCATCCACTGCGATCGCCGGGGCAGAGGAAGTTGAGGGAGCATGCGCTTATTTAAACCGTGAAATTAGGCATTTTATAGCAGGGTGGGGGTTCAAATACACCGTGCTATCCACCAGCTCGGTGCCCTCTTGAGCGAGCTTCCCTAACTTGATGGGACACACCATTTTCGTCCCGACACATCGCGGAAGAAGACATAATAATGCCGCCTCATGTACATAGGTAAAGAACCTTTCTGGTTACAAATTTGAAGTCACAGATCATCTCTTTTGTGCCTGGACTAAGTCTCTTTCTTATCTTCTACCCCATATGTGGCTTTTTGATGCTCAAATACCTGACCACCAGCTGGTCTTCTCAACCTTCACTGTGGCTACGAGAGGCGTCTCAATGCTGCTGGTGCCAACTAGGATATCGTATTTCCCGGCCTCCACAGCCCACTGTTTTCGCGGTTCGTCCCAAAAACTGAGAGCATATTTTTTGCTCAGGACAACTTCTACCTGAGCGGACTGCCCCGCCTTAACATGTGTCTTTGAGAATCCCTTAAGCTCCTTTCCAGGGCGCGTAATTGAGGGGTTTTTGGGCGAAACGTAGACCTGTACAACTTCGGACCCATCGACGTTTCCAGTGTTGTTCAACTCGACTCGCACCAGAATCTTCTCATCACCGTCAATGACTCCGTGAGAAACCTTGAGGCCGTCAACGCTAAAGGTCGTGTAAGACAGTCCCCATCCAAAGGGATAGAGAACAGATCTCTTGACTGCCTCGTAGTAGCGGTACCCAATAAAGACGTCCTCGCCGTAAAGAACTCGCCCTTGGTCCGATCGGTAGTTGAGGAAGGCCGGGTTGTCCTCAACTCTGACCGGGAACGACAAGGGCAACTTGCCCGAGGGGTTGACTTCTCCAAATAAGACATCTGCAATGGAGTTGCCCGTCTCGTTTCCACCGTACCACGCTTGGATGATTGCCGATACCGAACCAGCCCAAGGCATGGTCACTGGCGTCCCTGACTGGACTACGACTGTGGTGGATGGATTGGCAGCAGCAACAGCGGACACCAAGTCATCTGTTCTTCCAGGCAAATCCATGTGCGGACGGTCATGGCCTTCTTGCTCAAAATCCGCATTGAGACCGACGCAAATGACAACTTGGTCCACCGACTTTGCCAGCTCCGCTGCGCGGCGAATTTCCTCGTCTGCGTCACGGACTTCGATGCCCCCGATGCGAACGCCGCCGCCGCCAAAGGAAACCACGCCATCGGCATCTTTGACCTTAGATGCTGCGCCGCTGGCGAATTTGACCGTAATATTGTACGTTTGCCCGGCGACCAATGCCTTGGTTCCGGTTTCCTCCACGGTACCGACATTGAAGAAGCTTCCACCACCTCTTTGAACAGTCTCATTATCGATCACGAGCTCTCCGTCAATGTAGAGATTGGCAGTTCCGTGGACAGTAAGTCCGAACTCGAAATCGCCTGTCTCTTCGGCAGTGAACGAGGCCTCAATCTCTCCCCACCATAGATCTTCCGTTATATCGGGGTGGTAGTAGTCGGCAAAGTACATGTTCGTGTCAACGAGATGCAGTGTATCAACTGGTTGACGATCACTATCAGTCTCAGGTGTGGTGTAAGCCCTGAAGGTGACTCCGACCTGACCGTCTGCGGTTTTCAGTCGAGGGCCAAGAATCGGTAGCATTTTGTGAGCGTAGCACCCAACTGAGTAGACCACATCCTTTGCTTCTTCGTAGATAGCATCGAATGGCGTAACTGCGTAATAGGGTCTCAACGTAGCTGATCCTCCACCACAGTAGACGGCTGCTTTCGCGTTTGGTCCGATTACGAGTACCTGTCAAGGGTTTAGAATTTGGGAAGCCACCGAGAGCAGGCAATTGAACAACTCACGGTCTTTTCTTTCTTGAAAGGGAGGGTAGAGTTCTCATTCTTTAGCAGTACGATTGAGCCTCCCGCGATCTTTCGAAGGAGGGCTGAAGTCTCTGGAAGATCTCGGCCGTTCTCCCCCGCTCCTTCAGGAATCCCCGTCAATGCTGCACGGCGGACAGCGTTGAGAACAGCGCGGACGCGTTCATCGACGGTCTCGGGGAGCAGTCTTCTCGATGCCAGAGCGTGCTTCACCAGCTGGCCGCGCCAACGCGTAGGTCCAGGCATCTCCAGGTCAAGACCAGCCTGAATAGCTTCGATTGTGGAGTATGTGCCATACCTTTGGCAATGTAATCAGCTTGAAGCCACTCTCTCAAAGGTGGATGCTAATTACTCACCAGTCGCTCATTACCAGGCCTTCCCATTTCCATTGGTCACGCAAAATGCTCTGGAGCATACGGGCGTCTTCACTCACATGAAGCCCATTGACCTTATTGTAAGCCGTCATGAAGGACGCCGGATTCGCATCTCTCACAGCAATCTGGAAGGGCAGCAGGTAGATTTCCCGAAGAGCCCTTTCAGTGATGCGAGAATCGACAGCCATTCGCTCGTGCTCTTGGTCATTTCCCACAAAGTGCTTGATAGCAGCCTGGACTCCTGTGCTCTGAATGCCGGCGACAACTGCAGCGGCACTTTCGCCTGCGAGAACTGGATCTTCGGAGAATGATTCGAATCCTCTGCCTCCCAATGGACTTCTTTGCATGTTGACCGTGGGCCCTAGGAGAATGTGCGCCCCCTTGGCTTTCGCTTCGAGACCCATGAGCGTTCCAGCTTCTCGGAGCAGGCCAGCATCCCAAGTTGCTGCTAGACCAGTGCCGCAGGGGAAGCAAGCTGCCGGCACACCATTGAAAAATCTTGTACCTCGAACTCCATTGGGACCATCAGAGAGTCTTATGGAGGGAACTCCAAGACTGGGAACGCTCTTGGTGTGCCAGAAGTCGATACCTGTAAGTACCTTATGGTCAGCAAAGTTTCTACATCCCGTCAAGATGCCGTGAACTCATACCAGCAAGTAGGTCAATCTTCTCTTGAATGGTCAATTTCTCCAAGACATCTTCTACGTCGAAAATGGCTACTTTGCTTGGAATGTGGGAGATAGTCATGATTGAGTCTGTGAATGGTGCTGGATCTTTACTGTGTGATGTAGTTCCATACACAAATTTCTCACGAAATGACAAGGTAGGTAAGAAATAATTACCAGTTCGATTGTGTCAGGCCCTAAGTACTTCGTCATTGCGGCTTACACGCACCCTTGTGCATGGCTGTTTTTGAACACGAATTCGAAGTTCTCGTAGCATTGGTGACTAGTGTGTTCCTCCTGAATGTTTCGGCCATATTTTCCTATTCTACTTGACTCCAGGGCTGAAATGATGTTGAGTAATCTTACATTGCGGAGCGTTGATCCCCCGAAAAAGTTGATCAATTCCGGCTTTCCGCGGAACGTAGCATAAGCTCGGGCCGGTAGCAAATCCCTGATGACACCTGCAGCAGTCCTGTTTGCTTCTCTCGCATTGTGATCCTACACTCCGCGAACGTGTTGTCTATCGTTGACCATGTCTAATCCACACGCAGAAACCCGAGCCAGTTCTCGCAAGAGACCTGCGTATCCTCGGAAACGAGCTGTGCAGGCCTGTTTGACATGTCGTCAGCGACGGACAAAGTGCGACAACGAAAAGCCAGCCTGCAATTCTTGCAAGAAGCTGGGGATAGATTGCGTCTACCATGAATTCGAAAAAGCTAGGTGTGTGTTCTTTCTGTCCTCTTGATACTCTCCCTTCCTGGCTTTTTTGCCCCGTCCATAATCTGTCTTGCATGCATATCTTCTCCCTACATTTCATCCGAGCCAACAGAATCATGATTGCAGCTTCGATGCAGCCAGTCTCGCCATCTTACGAAGATTGGATGAACTGGAAAGTGTGGTGAAAGGCAGCCGCCCGCTCCCTGCAGCTCCTCAGCCGTGCTTGGACTTTGCTTCATCCCTTGCTTCGTCGCCATTTCCAACCACCGATATCGATTGGATCAACTCCTTCGAGGTCCGCTACGTCAACCGCGATGTAATCCTCAACTGGCCAGTCTGGAAAGCTGCCGATGTACACTGTCTATCACACGATTCGCCTGCGGCCGTCTCTCCAGGAATCGACTCGTTGTCACGCCCTCTTCTCGTATCAGACGTAGACGTCCAGGACGCCTCCAGACTCCTCGGCATTTTCTTATCTGTTTACCACATATTCAACCCAGTCTTGGATATACCGGCGATTGAAGAACATGTCAAGAGCACGTCTCTCAATGGGTTCGGATGGGATGCTGGGTCATGTCTTGTCGTAAGCCGTTCTTCGTCATTCCCAACCCCTTCCCTTCATGAACCGATGCCTGACAGAATTGTAGCTGCTCGTGCTAGCCCTAGCAACGACCGTGAACCATGAAACCGTCCCTACACATTCCTCGCTGTCCGTTCGGCAAAATGAACACTTTAACCGTGCCGAAGCGTTCTTTGGTGCTGCGCAAAGGCGGATGGGTTTGCTGCTATCCAATAGCGGCATTGCAGAAGCCCAATGCTTCTTCTTAGCCGGCGTGTATCTGATGACTACGATGCGGCCAGCTGATGCCTGGAAAATGTTCACGCGGGCGTTGTCGAGCTGCCATACTTTTCAACTGTCTTGTCGCGACGCCAGCCCTGGAGCTATACGCTTGCAGCAGACCATCCATTGGGCATGCTTCAAGTCTGAGCTGTGAGTTCTCTTACTTTTGCTTCTAACCCATCTACTAAAGGAAAAGTATATGTGCTAAGTATGGAATAGCGAGGTGCGTTTGGAGTTAGGAATCATCAAGACGAGTGCGTGGGATCTACGCTATCCAGATCTCTTTCCTGACCCTCCCGAGTCCATACAGTCTCAAGGGGAGCCTGCCTGGTATTTCTACCTAGCCGAAATCGCACTCAGGCGACTTAATAACCGCATACTATCGGCAACATGTTTGAATGATCAGAATGCGGGCAACGTCGCCGATAAGGTGGCGATGACTCTAGAGTTCGAGCGGCAAGCTCACAGCTGGTAAGCTTTTGTGTTCCGACCTTGATGCCTCTTGAAAAATTAACACGGCGTCTCTGCTCCGTAGGGCCAGGTCTCTTCCCCCAAGTCTCCGGCCAGCGATAGAGGATTCCAGCGACGTGACTTTCGACCTCGACGAGAACGGGCAGCTGAGATTCATTCTCAGTGGCCATTTGATAGACTGCCTGGAGTTAATGTACTGGCCATTTATCTACGCCGCTGTGCATGGCCGACTCGGGGACGACAGAGACTCCCATATGCTGGCTTCGCGAGGCCTCGACTTTTGCGTGCGAAGGATAAAGATCAACAAGACAGGATTCTTCCATCGACATCATGGGACTTGGTTGATGCTACAGTCATGCACACGGAGCGCGCTCGTGTTGATTGCTGCGGCGTATGGGGGATTGCATGACAAACTTCCACACGACTGGAAATCTAGTGTTGAGGACGTAGTGAGCCTCTTGAAATACTGGGTTGATGAAGTACCTGACTTCAGAAGGATGATTGAGATCCTCGCTAGTTACGAGTAGCAAATCTGGTAATCCGCCATAGCCTTGTGAACAAGCACACGTTGAGAATTGTCCAGCTTAAGACTCGCCCGTGTATCATCCCTGTGATCTACCGATGCAGGCTTCCAGCCCTCTGTCTAGCAACTCCATGCTTGCCTTCGCTGGCTCTCCTCTCAAGTCCCCAATCTTCCTCACGAGAACCTTCAGGTAGACTAGGCTTGCCTCCCAAACTTGCCAGCACCATCTTGTTGGTAGCTGTGAAGTCGTCCATTATCTGTAACTCCTTCCGAGAAAACCATCTTGGTACTAGCAAGACTCTCATCGGGATTAGCAAGATGATGAGGACTGGAAAGCCGATTGCACCAAGCGTATGGGAGACGGCAACACAAGCTACTACAGCTATGAACTGCAGGGCTATGTATAACCAAACCTTTCGGCGGCGAACTTGGAGCAGTAATTCATCACGTTGTATGAAACGTGCTTCTGCTTGAAGGAAGAGGAACTTCTGAAGGATGCTGTTCGATTCAATTGAGCCCCACTGGAACATTTTATCAGTTGTTAGTCAACAACTCAATTGTAAAAAGGACGGAATTGATCGCTTACGCCGACAACAAAGAAAACGCCGGCAAAGACAGCAGCTGGCATGGTATGAATTACCACCAGAAGGGGACCTGTCATGGTGCCTATCAGAGCGAGGCCCATCAACAAGTGGGAAATCCTCTGCTCCACTACTTGTGTAGCAACCACCACAGGTCGTCTGATTTCTGTATCTTCTCCTTCAGAAGTCGGTATGATCTTAAGTTTCGTCTCGTAGACTGTCAAGGAATCGGTATGGACTGGGGCTTGAGGCACGAGGCCATTAGGCATCGGCAAGCCTAAGATACCTGCGACGAACGTCGTGCAGCCGAGCAGGAAGAAGTCCCAGTGGAAGCCTCCTGGTTTCTTCAAGGGGTATTGGCGTGCTTGAGCGGTAATACTGCTGACGTTCTAAGGGAAAATTTAGCCACTCCTTCTAGATGTACACGTATGCTAAAGGTACAACTCTTACATGATCGTAATAGAAAAGAAGCATCACTAGAAACCCAAAAGGCATAGCGACAAAAACCCACTTTGCATCAAGATTCCAAAAGTCGATTACCCAGCCTCTAGGCTGCGTCGGCTTGAAGGCGTCAACAATAGGAACCCTCATGATATGCGTGTCTTTGAGAGTTCCAGGGATGTGCGAGAAACCAACCCAAAAGATGGTGGCGAACTGAGGGAACTGTTAGTTTCTATTCCTGGCCATCGACAGCAAGTAGTAATCTCACCACGTAGGCGTAGTCAGCGAGGATCCCTCGGTAGGCAGACTTCCAAAGAGTGCTAGAGCCCATCTTCTCTAAAGTATAGACGGTGCCGAAGTATAGAATCGCAATCATACAAGCCAAGTAACCCGCAGCGCTGCCTTCGGCATCGAACTCGTTGATCAGTTCTTCCACACCCTTGACTATTCCGTTGTCAGCAAGACGTTCTTTAACTATTCGGTCAAGTCTAGCCCACGGACTGATGTAGATGATGCCGACGTATAACCCAAATGCCTCGCTAGAAAAGTCGGTAACGTATCGCATGTAGTCGCACGCGTTGAATACGGCGACGAGCCAGTGAAAAATTGCTGCCCAGATCCCCGTCCAAGCCATGAACTGTGGATAAATGGAAACGTCGTAGAGTTCGATGATGTCGTAGATTGTGAAGTTGAAGAGTGAGATCAAACCGGTGACGCCCACGATTGTTAAAGGTTGGGCGCTGAGGATGCTGAAGACGATGGCAGCGAGCGCCGACGAGAAAAGGGCTTCGTTAATACCAAAGAATTGTCCTGTTCGTCGATACATGTCGAGTGTGTAGGCTATTGCAGGGAGGAGACTAAAGCCATATCACTTCGTTGTCAGCATACCTAAGGTAAGGGGGCAATAGTTGAACTGCAGTGCTGCTGAATATGATTACTGACTTGACAAAATACATGCGGATAGTACTGGCCACCGTACGGTACGTCCACGCGTCAACAATGTCGCTCCAGTAGTATGGAAGGCGTCTTCTGATGTCGTGGTAGATTCCACGGCCTGGGCGGAAGATTCTCCATCGCCTCCAGCCTCTTTGGTCATCGTAGGTGTACGACGCGTCTGTCTTCTCCCTCTGTAATCGCATTTCGCTGGAAGTGCTGGACTCTGGGTTGTCAGGCATAATGTTGAGATAGCTGCGAAAGCGAGGAATATTGCTTTAAGAAAAGGGGTAGGTGCGTAAAGAAATAAGAATGAGATGGAAACAGAAACTTCTGGATGATGACCTGAACTTCGGACCAAGCGAGACTAAGTGTGGCCATGTTATATGAACGACCTCTTGGTACGGAAACTGGGGAATAAATGACCCCCTAGTTCCCACCGATTACCTGGGGCGACTTGTTTTGATGGGGGCAAATTATGGAATTAGAGAGAGATCGGAAGGTAGGCTCTTGGCCGGCCGGTCTCGCTTCAATACGTCACGTAGACAGCACTGTAACCATATACTGGAGAGTCTGCTGCCACCATGTACCTGTTAGATGCCTTCTCAGTGCGAGTGGGATGTTGAATCGCTCCTTGGCACGGTTCTTTTTCATCAACGGAAGCTGAATGACCCGAAGAAGAGAGTGCCCGCAACAGCATCTCGTGAGTCTAAAGCTAATATCGTGGCTTCAATTCAATATACGACTGCATGTTGTTAACAGGAGGTTATACATATTGAGCGAGTCTTTTCTTCAGTGCAGATCCAGCGTCATGATAGTTGATATGGCCCTCACGACCTCGCCTCGATTGCCGCGCCATAGCCGTCCATGGTCCACCAAACACTAAGCTGCCGACAGCCAATGTTCCATCAGGCACTAGCCTAACAAGGTTAGTGCGGAGGTTTACGGCGACGTTCGGCGGAAAATTCTGCCCAGGCAGATAATTCCAGGCAAATCGCGCTCGTCCCTCGCTCCGATGGTCCCCCGTTCTGTGGACTCACTCACCTCCCACACTATTTCTCTCCGCACGACAGAGCCGCTCTTGATTCAGAGATCACAGTTTCTTTGCTTCGGAGTGCCATGGTACCCCTCAAATTTCCAGCCCTTCGTATACATAGACAGGCTTATTTGAAAATCACCATAAGGATGCCTCTTGAGCTTGTGCAAAGACACGTCGGACTCTGAAGATTTGCGTAAGCACAAATACCAACGCGTGTTATCTCAATCCTATTGTTTATACATTTTGTGGTCGCTATCATTGGTTCAGCAACAGGAATCACTTCGCACGTCCAGGTAATGATGATCTTATCTGTCATCTCTCAAAACTTGATTGTCTATCCAGACTACCTACATGTATCCAAGCAGGCATCGGAGTAGACGGGTCGATTGTGCTGGACGAGATCCTCCACCCCCGTACACTTGCATCGAATAGGTCTATAGAACAATCTATCTACGCCGGCTTTGCCCGAAAACCATCGCAAGAAATGCAATCACTCTATAGATAGTTCCAATGCCAACCAAAACTCCCATGTTGCGCCATAGCCAGTTCAAATGGAAACCAGTCGCCGCTGCAGCAGAATCGACATCATACAAATAACCAAAGGGCGAGACTAGCTGACCAAAGTAGATTTCTGCCAGCCAGACACCAGGTGAAGCGCGCCAAAGCCACTCCAAGTGCCACTCCTTGACCTTGGCCAGTGGGGGAGCAGCTCCAGACAAGATTGCAACGATGAGACTAATCATTGTCGCAAACAGGGGAGCATCTTCTCGTCTGACAAGCATGCTGATGATACTGGCCAGCCCGTAGATGCAGTAAAAGTAGAAGAAATTAGTGAGAAAGGCAAGCCCCCAGTTGATCACCGGTACCGTGAGAATGAACAAGAATGTCGTGAAATGGAGACAGCCCAAGAGCATACGGGGGAGGACAGAGACGACCTTTGCAAGGAAGTATGCTAGCCTGTTGTGTCCCGCTTCGGCTTCCCTCCGATGCACGAGCAGTTCCTCCGAGAAAGTCTTGACACCAGGCGCACCAGACACTAGACCCACAGCAATGGAGACCAATAGAGCAAGTTCAGGGGCCGACTTGAAGTCCACAGCAGTTGACAAGATTGAGTACGGCTCTTTGAAAGTGCCTGTGAACAAGATGCCCTTTTTTGAATGCTCGGCAAGGCCCAGGAGAAATCCAGCGAGCGCCGCGAGACCCATCTCGGCCCAAAAAGCTGCTTTGGTGCGGTACTGCTGAAGCATGGCCCGACGAAGGCAGAGCCATGTTTGTTTGTACAGCGGCGCACCGCGATGCTTGATGGCGGCGTACATGCCGTTGTTGCTCATGATGGAGGAAGCATGTCGCTCCTTGTGCGTGAGGGCCTGGCGGTGATCTGACCACTTCGAAATGAGCGATTCTTTGGAGATCTCCCCCATTTGCTTGTAGTCGCGACCGTTTCCAGTGATGATATCGGTGACTATGTCGCCATGATTGCTGTGTTTTGGGAAGCCGAAGCCGAGGCCTTCAAAATAGTCCTGCACTTCAGCTTGGGGACCTTCGTAGATAGTCTGGCCATTGCCGAGGAGAATGAGATTATCGAAATTCTCAAAGATCTCGGTGCGGGGTTGGTGGATGATGACGATGACGGTGATTCCCAGCCGCGCAACTGCCTTCAAAGTCCGCATCAGAGATGAAGCTGCGGTAGCATCAAGACCACTCGTCGGCTCATCCAAGAAGATTGCCATCGGAGCAGATGCCAGTTCCATACCGATACTAACGCGCTTGCGCTGTCCGCCACTAATGACGGGTACAGCGACTGAGCCCACCAAGGAGTTGCGTACGTGTGAGAGTTCCAAACAGTCAATGACAGAATCAACATGAGACTCAATGTCAGCTGTTGACCAAGTCTGGGGCAGGCGGATTTTTGCGCTATGAACAATGTTTTCGTAGACCGTGAGCTCCGGCAGCACGATGTCGTCTTGAGGCACGTACCCAATCACCTTCTTGTACCGCTTCAACTTGTCTGGACTGCTGTTCACAGCCACTGTGCCTCCTGTGTTCTTGGTCTTACCCATGAGAACGTTGACGAAAGTTGACTTGCCGGCCCCGGATCCGCCCATGACAGCTGTCAAAGTTCCCCGGTCGATGGATCCTGTGACGTTCTGAAGAATCACCTTGGAGCTCTTCTTGGGCTGGAAACTGAGGTCAGAGTAGCTGAAGGAGAGACCAAAGTTGGTTGCATCGGTCGCACGCCTCATCGAGGAGACAAATGCCATCAGTTGAGGATTGAGCATCTCGCTCGTGGGCCTGATGTTGACCGAGTATTCGGAACCGAGCTCAAGGGCGGCTTGAAACCCCCCTCCGTACGAATCAGTCCGGTTGGGGATGTAGGTCGCGCTCATCGGGAGCATTTCGCGGTCTGTATCTTCCGAAAGTGCCCTGTAACCCGTGATCTGAGCTTTCATGCTGCTCATGCCACGCTTTAAGGTTGGTCTCCGGTTCTTGTTCGATTGATGGTCGCGAAGGCGCTTTCGGAATCGATAGATAACCATGCCAGCGATCGCCAGAACATCGACAATGATCAAGATGACGAGAGGGATGAGGAACAGCTCGTAGGAAGAACCTTCCGGGCAACGGCTGCCAACTGAACATGGTGTTGGAGTCGCGGCTCCAGGCTGACAATATGAGCCAGCCGGACAGACGATAGAAACCTTGCCATTATTCTCTTCGGGGCAGTAGTTCCCAGCTTGACAGACAACCGGCTCAAAAGGGCCCATGCCAGCGTTCTTCCCGCCAAAATTGCAGGTAATCGATGCCAACCTCGCCATTTGACAACCGTCCAGCGGCGGGCAGTACTGAGGTATCGAGTTGACGGTGTTATTCTCACCTAGGCCAGATTTAGCAACCCTTATCCGATGGACGCACACCCGCAAGTTCTGGGACTTATACTCACATAGAAAACCCGGGCTGCACCCATCAGCCTGCCAACTCTCCACTGTCTGGATCTCTATCGGAACCGCCCCTTGTCTATAACACGGCGCGGCGCTATATGGCTGCTGGCCTGCGTTGATCTGTGCCGTTGCTTCGTAAAACGAGGTCGAGAATCTGGTGTTATTCTTGCCGGTGCAGGCGCTGTCGTACACACTCAGCCCGTCGTTGCCCGGCGAGTCTCGCAATGCTCCAAAGAGCCACCGTAGGGGCTTTTCAGTATCCGGCGGACTTGAAGCGTCATTAATGGGTCCATTGGCATTGCCGGCTCCATTGAGTGTGTTAAACCATCTGCCGGTCCTGATTGTGTAGATGCTTCCCTGGCTTTGGTCTCCAATACATTGCCAAGCTGGTTCCGGGGCTCCACCGGCTGGTGTTACCTGTAAAGCACAGAGACATCCCTCTGTATCAAGGAAACTAGGGCCTGTAGGGTCTGTTTGGGGATAGTATGGGTCCTGTGGTAAATCAGAGGCGTCGAGGCCAAAAGTCTTGCGGCTCATGTTGACAATAGGAATGTTGGCTCAACTTGCCTTTGAGAACTCATCACCATATTCCAAAAGTCGCAATCGTTGCGGAATTGCAGCTATTTCATTCTTGAAAGGGCTTTCGTTGTCTCTTGGCAGGCAGACATGGTACCAAAACACGGAGTTATAATTCATGTTCCCATCAGATTTTAGCGTGATCCTTCTGGCTCGCAGCGCACAGCTCACAAGGGCCGAACCCACGCAATAATACTTAGTATTACCTAGCTAGGGAAACTCGGACGAGGCGAAGCTGCAGACCAATTGCTGACGCTCCACATACGAATGCCGCGCCTTGTGCCATGGGAAATGAGTGAAACCAATCCGTCATTGTGTCTTAGACGGTTGGAGATCCACGCACTGACGGCCCGCAGCATCGGGCGAGATAAACGGCGTCGTGGCGCGGTCGAATCCACAATGCCAATGCTTGTTCAACGAACTTTTGCTGCCTAAAGATGATGGGCATACTGGATGGTGTCTAGTCTTGGTTTGAGTACAGCGTGAGCATAGCGTAAGTTCTCGAATTACATTAATTCACTTTGTAGGGTCCGTCTCATTTGGTAGGGGCAACATGCAGAGTCCCAAATGAATCGGCACTGGAACATTGGCTCTATTACTGCTCTCTGTGGGAATGTTTTAAGTGAATCGATAGGTAGTAGCTAGAACATATATACTTCACATAATATTGTAGAAATACCTTATGACACTCTATTTAAGTTCCACAATTCACATGTACACACAAGTAATAAAGACCGGAGAAAAAGATGTTTTTGAGCTAATCAACCACTTCGATCAACTCAGACGCCTTGCTTAATGATTTCCGCTGCCTTTCAATGGGAAGATTTCGTCAGTAAAATGGACCAATTGGGCTAGGAAAACAGAGAAGCAATAGGAGCAGACTCACCTTCTCAGCAAGGGCATAAGTGGGCTGGCAGGTGTTGGCGCTGGGAACCATGGGCATGACACTGGCATCAACGACTCTCAGGTTCTTCACTCCGTATACCCGCAATGTCTGGTCGACAACACCGCCCAGGTTAAGTGGCATCATAGATGCAGTGCCCACGGGATGGTAGTCAGTTGGTGACATGGCGCCGGCAATGTAGGCCTTGAGATCCTCGTCCGAGGTGACTTCGGGACCGGGGGCGTACTCGACCGGGTCGAATTGATTGGCCAGAGAGGTGTTGAAGTTGTAGCGGCGGAGGAACTTGATCGATTCAACAAAGAAATCGGCCTCGATAGGGTTGGACAGGGCGCGGTAGTCAATCACAGGCTCAGTGTTCCACGGGTCGGTCGTATTGATGTTGATGGTGCCACGGCTGAAGGACTGCATCGCGACGGGGCCCTGGGATCCCTGGTTTGCAATGAGCTGCATGCGAGTGAATGCCGTGTCCTTGGAGCGCATTTGGGCGGCCAGGATCTTCATCTGCGCCTTGAAACCGGCGACAACTGTGGACGCGGCATCCGTCGGCAGGAGACTGGCAAAGTCCTGTCGCTCCAACTTGGTGGCGAGCTCCTCAGCTCGGTCGGACACGGCGGTGAAAGGGAGCCAGCCGGCCAAATTAGTCAACGCAATAGAATAAGGGCCTGTTTCGTGCGAATTGTGACGAGTCAGTCAAGGTGAGGCAGATATGGGTAAGACAGCTCTGTCTTGGGGACATAGAATCACTCACCGGTCTTGTTGGCTGCCCACACTTCGTCGGCCCAAGTCTTGAAGTCATTTCCCTCAACTAGGTCGGTCGGGTTGGGGTGGATCTCAGTGAGCTTAGAGACTATCCGTGGGTTAGTTTCTTCTTATCGGTCGAGAGTCTATTGCATCGTGCCCATAGACTCCTTCAACAACTTACGAGTAATGTTCATGGTAGAGAGACTGCTGTGGTCTTGGAAGTTCTGGCCAACGCCGGGGAGGTCGACAAGAACATCAATGCCACCAGCTTCCAGAAGGCTCCTAGGTCCAATGCCGCTAAGCTGCAGGAGTTGAGGAGTGTGGATGGCACCAGCAGCGAGCAAGACCTCCTTCTTTGCGGTAACAGTGACAAAGCTGTTGTTTCCTAACGGGAACTCAACCCCTGTAGCGCAGAGCTTGTCGTCAAGAATCAACTTGCGGGCCTGAGTATTGAGCAAAAGGTGGTAGTTCGGACGAGTGGCATTGACGTTGAGATAGTGACCGGTGCCAGCATAGGAGCGGGTGACGGTACGGGGATCCATGAGCGTGGGGAACCAGAAGACACCGGGCTTTCCGGCACCACTGTCAGCCGGGAACTCCACTCCGTCGATTTCCTTGAAAGCTTCAACTAGGGGCTTAACACCGGGGTAGTAGAATCGGGGCCACCCTGCATAGATCTCCGATGAGTCTCCCCAGTATGCGGCGTCATACTTGACGCTGTCAAAGTTCTCGGTCAGCTCGGGAGGCGGCTCAGTGAAATGGAGGCCCTGTCGGAGTGATGGTCAGCTTCGCGTCGTGGTGATTGAGTTGTTGCTTTAGGTCCCTGCTCTTACCTTCTTGAAAAACGGCAAGATGCCATCCCAGCTCCAGTCGGCAGTCCCCTGCTGAGCCTCGGATCCGAAAAGGCTAGCCCAGCGGTCGTAGTCCTCGGCCGAACCACGCATGTTCATCATGGCGTTCACCGACGCACCACCTCCGACTTGTTTGGCAATGAAGACATTGCCAGTCCTTCCGTTCAGGCCAGGCTGGGGAACAGACTGGAGTCCGGGCCAAAGAAGGTCTGTAAAGGCTGAAGTCCGGGTGAGAAAGGAAACCTTGAGGTTCTCGGGCATGTTGCCCCAGTCTGCAGCTTCGAGAACCAAGACTTTGGTTTCAGGGTCCTCCGTCAAACGGTCTGCCACAGTCAAGCCTGCGGTTCCGCCACCTACAATGACATAATCGTAGCTGTTCAGCAATTGAGATGAGTTGATTTGGCGGGGTATCACGTAGGCGTCAGCGACACAGGTTGCTCCGAGGAGGACCGCGGATGCAATTTTCAGCCACTGGGGCTTAGATTGGTGAAAGAATGGCATGGTAAACAATGAGTGTCTCTGCTAGCAAGCAGACTATGTAAAAGAGAGTGAAAGCTGCTTAGAGATCCATCTAAACTTCTGCAAGGAGACATGGTGAATCGTTTTACTTATACACAACTCTCGTTGTCTTCAGGGCAAAGCACTTGGCGCTCGTCCGGAAGCATTCCAAAGCCGTTACTGTGCTTACTGTAGATCTCACAATTGCATGTCATATTAGACTTCTGATTCGGAAGGTCAACATATGCAGGGGAAAGCTCGGAGATGGGCCCGCCAGATGGATCAGTCGCCAAGCTGCCAAGTTGTGCGGCGGTGCTGCTGGACAACCAACAGAACAGGATACAGAGACGAGTTGACGGGGTTGCGGAGGCCACAACCCATTAGCGAGGCACATGCTGTTGGCTCTGTACAACTTTATGTGCGACGGTACTGCAAGTACCAACGGGATCTTAGCCTAATTGGACCTTCGGGGAATGTTAGAGCAATGTTCCGCGCCTCTTTTCTGCAGCTGCTGATCACCACATGACAAGGCTGTTTAAGGTAAATTATAACCTAAAAGAAGGGAATAAGTGGGAATATCCCGAGTCCCGAGCGACCTCTTTTCTCGCCAGCTTCCTTTTTCTGCTTCATCAACTCTGTTTGCGTTACCCTCTCCACTCGCAAACACCTAACCGAGCCAAGCTCCTCTGTTTATTGCCTTGTAGTTGCCCCGTTGGTGTCAAGAAATTCCTCAAGCGCGCGGGAGTCCCGCCGGCCCATCTTATCAGATCCTTCTTCGTTGTCGGATGCGTCTTGGCGGCGGAGCCATGTCAATAAATTTGAGTTTTTAGTCATCACAACTCCTGTCCCAGCTTATTTCTCCGAGAATTACCTCACACGAAAGAGGTTAATCTTCGGCGAGAATCTACGGAGTAAACCTTCGTCAAGAAGAACAGAGTGCGATCACCTCCAACACAGCCTTACGTCCGCTATGCCCGTTGCTGACATGCTTGGCACGCTCGATCCTGTGACCAGAACAGGTAGGTAGCATAGAGCCACATAGATTTGAGTCTTGGCTATCCCCATAGTCGGTAGCGAGCTCGATGTACGCTTTACACAAGATTTGAGTTGCTTGAGCCAAGATGATCGTCGGAAAACGGCCACAACCTTGGCAGGGATTGTACTTCGGCTAATGCATCATCCCAAGAATCAGACGATAGAGTTCTGGATGTGGCAGGCGGTGCTGTCTACACGAAGTCCGAGATCCTAGGACACTGGGTATGTAGTCTAGGTCACAACTTACACCCATGTACGAATACGGACGGATGCAGACAAGTACTAGGATGCTGACCGCTCAATCCATTCATGTTGGCAAAAGGGGGGCATTTATTTCTGGCTTGCTGCTATGATGAATATTCAATTTAGCATGCAAACACAGTTCCAACATCCCTCTACCAGTCAGAACGTTGTTGCTCTTTTAAGCCGTTGCCTCCCTGTGCGTCATGCTTCTTGAAGCTGACGTCGAAGCCTAGCCTCCAATCATCGTAAGATGGGAAGTTGATCCAAGTAACGAGGCATGATTGACCCGGGTCAAGTTGGGTTCTTGCATACGGTACATACGTTTCTCTTTTCCTCCCCTCTCTTCTGTGTAGTGGAACGCTGCACTAATGTCATCCACTAAAAGTCGTGGGTCGCCAAGCCTGTGACGTGGGATGAACGACTCGGGCTTGTTATGTACTTCGAGTCGCGGGACATGCGGGCTCCGGAGCCGGTCCAGGATGGCCTGGCGTCTTTAAGTATTTTATATTTGGCTCGATGACGAACTCAAATCACTCCGTGCAGAACAGACTCATGGAATATGCTGGTGTGGGCTCCATCATAAATATGATGCAAACTTCTCAGCCGGCAACACAGGATGTCAGCGCATGACTTCATCCCACACGGCAAGTTATCGCTAGATCCTAGACCTTGCAGAATGCGAGTTCCTTTTCCAAAGGAAAGATGCTCAAAGTGCGATATCCAATTTGGTCACACTTTTACGATGCGTCGACAAGTAAGAAAAAAGTTCGACGCAGTCGCTACAGGCTCAATGTCCAGAACTGAACCAGCTCCGATGATTGTGTGCGCCTAAGAACAATTTGAAATTAACATAGAAAATCAACAGCTACATAGACCAGAGCACCCAATTCATATACTGATTTCTGGTCACATCTCAACTTACTTTGTACTCTTATTTCATACGTAGAGAAATAACTTTTCTCCACCCTTGCCCGATCCAGTTAGGCACGAATCACACTGCATCCCGACGAAAAACGACACATCTTCAAGTTGCTAAGTAAATACAGGACTCAGGGACTTGCACACATGAAGTCTTCTTACATCAGAAGACCGGAACATTTCGCGTGAGGTACTCATACCAATTAGGCAGAGTCCTCTTGTACGAATTTCCCTCCGTCGTCAACTGCAAATCCTCGATTGCACTCCCCCACTTGACCAACTCTGCTTCCCCGTACGCCGTTTGCATAATGGCGAGGCCGAAACCCATCCCAGTGCTAGAGCGAATCCCAGCTGGAAGGGTGATCATAGGATATCCGGCCTGGGCAGCAATTTGATATGTCTGGCCAACGTCAGGAGGGACTAGGAGTCCGGCCAACTTCGTCCCATTAGAAGAAGTGAGGGCATCATTGATGCCATTCCGCGTTGATTGCTGGGAGAACTCGACAGCTTGGAGATACGTCTCATCTTTGATTCCCTTGGATTCTAGAGACGCCAAAAAGCCGTCTTGGCCAGAGTAAAACGCGGCTGTCCCAAGTGGCCAAGGGTGACCGCCCTCGGTTCCATCATTGTCGTAGTTGAATGCAATAATATCTTCGAAAGTCTTGATGTCGGTGTTCTTTAGCTCAGAAAGATAGGTGTTGATGTTGTTATAAAAGTCAACTTTAACGACCGTGTATTCGGACTCATTCGGGTAGCCTCTTGTGGTGCCATAGTCCCAGTCCCAACCATCCGGGCTAACGATGGTCTCATAGTCGGTGATTTCAGTGTTGTTTACTATCGTAGCCCCAGCTGAGGTGATGAGGTTGATTAATTGCTCCAGAGACTCCCTCTGTTCATCGTCCGCGAGAGCCCAGAAACTATTCCAGGGAAGTCCGAAGGTGGCGCCTTTCAGGATCTCCTTTGTAGACAGGAATTGGGCGTAACCCCCCTCGGGCGTCTTGCCTTCCTGAGCCAGTGTGTAGTTGTCGCGCTCGTCAATGCCATAGATTGCATCAAAGGCGTACACAGCATCTCTGACTGTGCGACCGAAGGTTCCGACAGAATCTTGATGCTCGCTCTCAGGAATGACCCTGCCCTCGAGTTAGTAAGGTTTTGGATGGAGAAGCCCATGGACTCAAAATACCCAGCCCTGGAAGTCAGACCGACTGTGGGTTTAAATCCAACAATGGCATTTCGCTCGGCAGGATTGATGACACTACCATCCGTCTCCGTGCCCAGCGAGAAAGCAATGGCATTCGCCGCAACACCAACAGCACTCCCCGTGCTACTACCGCCCGGGTTAAGTGTGAAGTTGTACGGGCTTCGGCACTGACCCCCTCGAGCCGAGAACCCTTCAGAGTAGTTGTTGCTGCGCATATCGGCCCACTCACTCAGAGCGGCCTTGCCGAACAAGATGGCGCCGGCTTCGCGAAGGCGCTTCACCACGTGAGCGTCACGGGGGACGATGCTGCCTAAGAGCGCAAAGCTGCCTGCTGTTGTCTCCATGTTGTCCTTGGAGGCGATGTTGTCCTTGACGGTGAATGGGATGCCATGTAGTGGGCCTCGGATCTTTCCAGCTTTGCGTTCCGAGTCCATCTTGGCGGCTAGCTGGAAAACATCTGGGTTTATTTGCAGAATAGAACTGTTGTGCACATTAACATACATCCACTCATATGGTTAAGCCATCTGCTTAGCAGACACAACTCCAATGTGCAGGTCGGTCTACTTACTGGATATACTCCTGCGTCTGGTAGGTTCGCTGGATATAACACCCGACCAGCTGCTGAGAGGTGAGTGTGCCAGCAGCTAATGCTACTTGCATCTCGTCAATCGTCGCCTCTTCCAACTTGAAAGTTCCACAGAGTGGCATCGGGAACAAGTCTGCAGACCCCACATCTTCAAGCAGCGGGAACACCGAAGGTACCGTTGTTGACGAGTTTCCGGGCAAGCTTTGAGAGGTGCTCAACTTGCAGCTGGCCAAAGAGGTTTCAATACCCGCCACGATGGCAAACCAGAACTGCGCCTTGTACATCTTGGCCACTCGGTGCTGCGCTTCCTCAAGTGAGATGCAGGACACAAGTCACGGACTGGATAGTCGGAAGACCGGCTAAAGACATAGAAATGAGCCTAGGCACGCACGCATAGCCACATAGTCGGTGTGCCCCATGTGCAGCTTTTAAAGCCTCACAACTCAGCTGATAAGCTGACGTGCTGTGTGCAACTCTGCCCCGCCCAGAGATGCCGATCCGGGTTTGCCAGATTGCGGCGGGGCGCAGGTTCTGTCACTGGTTGGCTACATCTTCTTGGGGGCTGAGATACTGATAGGAGATGATAGGAGAGTTGCAGTGCGCAAAAGCAAGCCTGGGTGCGACTAGTCTTGCGGGGATTGAACAGGGTTTCCGGGACGACCTGGTGAGCAACAGATACAGCAGTAAAGAATTGCACTTACTCATATCGGTTTAGTAGCTCTAATTCCTACGACTTAGAAATAGGGCAGTGACTAATTGAAGTCTTGTATTGCAATCCAGCTCAACGAAGGATTTAGTAGTCGCATGCGATGCGAATGGAAATCAAGCCATGTTCATTATTTATTCTTAATCAAAGTAGCCAGTTTCGCCCGTACTTGCATGTAAGGTCTAGCTTGAACCCTTGTCCCGATTGTCTGATACTCATACCGAATGGTGAAATAGTTAGCTACTAGGGCTGCCAATCTTAAGGCCAATACATCTGAAAACCAATTACTTGTTATTACATGGAACGATGAAAAT